GCAATTAATTAATATGTATCATCTATTTACTTTGGGATTTCTGCTGGGGACATCAGCCTCACTGTTGGCTTGTTTAGAATGATTTGAGAGCTGGTCAATGGGACTTGTTAACAATGATTTGAGAGCTAGCATCTACAACTGTGCTGCTGGTAGTCATCATGCCACCATCTGTGTTTCTTAAATTTTAAAAATTTAGCAGTAATGATATAGACCTTAAAATGTGTATATCTATTTCAGTTTTATTTCAATAATTCAGTTGGGCGTAGAGGGTCTTTAGCAGTGGGAGGAAACAACCGGATTCGGAGAAAACCCATGCGGTTGGACATGTGACTCCACATCACACAATGACTGACCTTATCGTCGGTGGGGAGTCAAAATGTCGTATCTGGCATATTTTGCGAAATTCACTTTTTTGCTGCTTCAGAATGAGCCTCTACTGTGTGAAATCTATGAAATTGAAGCAGTTAATGGTGAATATTTTCCTGAGATACGTCTTTGCTGTATAAAATTGCAAATAACTAGCTTTCACTCCATATTTCTGCACTAGATGTTGAGCTTGATACGCGCGGATAGTTACATACTGTTTAAATGGCTACACATATATTTTGTACATAAATATTTGAGAAAAGCTTCAGAAATACCACTTTTTACATTTTGACGTTACGGTTTTATAAGACATTTTGATTCTTAACCTCTGTGCTATTTTTGGCTTTCCTGGACAATTTCGCAAAATCCAGATAGGACCTTTTGACTCCCCACCGACGATAAGGTCAGTCATTGAGTGAAGTGGAGTCACGTGTCCAGCCGCATGGGTTTTCTCCGAATCCGGTTGTTTCCTAACGACTACCCCCCCTCCCCTGTTTGTAACATCTGACGGTGAAGATATCTACTGCTATTTTTTTTACCTCATTCACAGGATGTTTTTCTGTTTAAACAAATACTGAAGAAATTGGCAGCAGTTTTTATTTGCTTTTGGAAAGGGTAATGGTTTTACCCACGTGTTTAGACACACTTTGTTAGCCACAGCACATGTTAGAAATCCTTTTGATTGTAATATTATAAAAATCAGAATATTTACCACTGGAGAGAATTATAAAAAACTTTTAATAACATTTAATAAACTAATAACAATGTCTTCTTTTCATTTCCTTTTTTGACTTCACTCAGTATTTTTAATGGTTTCTCTATTGGTTATTGGTTAATAGTTGTTACTTGGTTTTGTATATAAACCCTGGATTATATTCATCATCATTTGCTTGAAAACGTTGAGAGAACCCTCAACAAAACATCCTTTTATTTAAAATAGTAATTGCGTTCCATATTATGATTTTGTGTTTATTAATGTTTTTTTTTTTGTTTTAATACTTCAATGTTTTCGATATGAAGTATGCCTTAAAAGCTCTTTTTTGAACAAAACATTAAGATTCATTCTTGTAGTTAAAGGGTAGCATTTTTGTATTTAGTAAAAAGACATATTCATTATAGATTATCTAGAAAATTTAACTCAAACAGTTCACAAGACACAGACGTTTTTGTTTTAAAATAATATGTGAAAATAAGATAAACAGTGAGTATAATACTGTAGTAAGCTGGCTGTGTTAGATGTCATACAATGTTTCTATAAGTTGAAGTGTAATAAGTAATGAATGTTTGTAAATTACATGTACCTACTGTATGTACAATTTACCATTGACAGGACATGTCAGTAAATGTTACGTTGACTTGTCATACACATGTCAAGTGATATTTTACTTTAAATGAGTTCTGACTAAACAAATAAAACAAGAAGTGTTACAACTAAGTTATTTAGTTTTCTTTTGAAATCTGCTTAGACATTTTACCCATCCATCTTTAAAGGAATTTGAAATGGTGAAAAAAATAGAAATTTTGATTTCAGTTAAAGTGCTTTAGGTTTGGCTGAGCCTTAGTCACACCTCACAGATTAGCATAGGCTATGTTAGATTTTTTATATATTTTTACACAATCAATGCAGTATTTGATTATAATTTTCAATCTTTAAATAGCTTATATTCAAGGTTCATGGGCTATCCTTACAAACTTATATATAATAAACTCCTCAGCACAAATTTTTATTTTACCAGTTCATTAGAAATACCATATTTGATGTTCCAATAAATGACATAATTTATATCAAAATAAATCTATAAACAAGCTAACCCTTTGAGTGTTAGAAGGTTACCCCCAATTTCAATAATTTTTCTTGAGATCTTTAAAATACTACTACATGTATTATATTTGTCACATCAATGGTAAAGGCTGAAGGAGAAATTGTCCAAAAATATCCACTACATTCTTCTACAGTTAAATGCTATCACATATTTTAGCAAGTCAACCACTTGTCTTCAAACCTTGTAAATGTGACTTTGTAAATTCTTCTGGTGTCAGACATATTTCATGGCGGTCATACCTCATCAGCTCAAACTACAGCCATAAGTCAATAGATCTGAGGTGAAAGTAGTAAACAGAAAGATTTACACACGATTTACCTCTAAATTGAACTTCCAGATCCAAATATCCAAGCAAAAAGTGATTCTGCATGATAGAAACCAATAATCTTTTAATAAAGACATAATTTGCCATTCTTTGATTTTTAACTTGAGTAGGCTGATATTGACTAAAAAAGGTAATAAACTATACTTGATAAGGTTATACAGGTTCAACCATATTTGATTGCTCAGCAAAGAACATTGGTCTGGATAATAGAGTTTCTAAAGTCTCTTTAAAGGAAAATGCTATAGTAAAAGTTTAATTTTGTCATTTGCTTAGTTTATTGTGTGAAGCATTTCAGAACTATTTTTTGAAAAAAAAAGTTTTAGTAACAAATAAGGTAAAAAAACACATCCGGATTTCCGCAATTACTGGCATGACATAAGAGTCGACACTTGTGAGGCAGTCGATGTATATTTCAATATGGCACCGGCAGAAAGTGACAGCTTCTCAGACATTAGTATACAGGTCACAATTCTATGGAATACAATTACTGCTTTTTACTGAGCGACGTTTCGACTAGGCTTCTCTAGTCATTATCAAGCTATGATAAAAATGAAAATATGACAGGACAATATATACATGTACACCACAATGCTAAGTTAATGATGACAAACCAGGGATGTAACTTAATTACGTGTACCTAATGGTAATCTGATTTAATTGTACGCTAATAAGTAATAATACCAATTAACCTAAAAAATTGACTAATTGATTAATGGATAAGTTGTTGTGGAGTATACACAGTGATTAGTGGGTTTTAATAATACAAACGTTGCAAGAAAATGAAAATTGATGAAATGTTATCAACGACCCCTTGTATTTATTTCAGTGAAAGGGGTCGTTGATAACATTTCATCAATTTTCATTTTCTTGCAACGTTTGTATTATTAAAACCCACTAATCACTGTGTATACTCCACAACAACTTATCCATTAATCAATTAGTCAATTTTTTAGGTTAATTGGTATTATTACTTATTAGCGTACAATTAAATCAGATTACCATTAGGTACACGTAATTAAGTTACATCCCTGGTTTGTCATCATTAACTTAGCATTGTGGTGTACATGTATATATTGTCCTGTCATATTTTCATTTTTATCATAGCTTGATAATGACTAGAGAAGCCTAGTCGAAACGTCGCTCAGTAAAAAGCAGTAATTGTATTCCATAGAATTGTGACCTGTGTACTCTAGTTCAATTACTAAATGCCATTGAAACAGTTTCTCAGACATTGATTTCGTTCTGAATGTTCTTGCCTATCAGTACGAGCCAATTAGAAATGCGAGCAACAACGGTGACGATGATGGTTCGGAACATTCTACCATTTCTAGCGAAGAAGAACAATTGCGACAGGCTGTGTTCGGATTAGGTCAGAGTACCTCGTCTTATCACTGTCCTTCGATTCTCGATAACTTTTCACTTCATTTATTGAAGTTCATGCTTCATCGGCGAAAATATATCACAGAAAAAAATTATTAATTCCAATAAGTTTACCCTAGTCATAGGGTAATACGATATACAGTATTATATGCCCTAGCCTACTTTCTTTGTGCAACAATTGAAAAATGAGGGTCAAGTATAATAAGCATATTGCTGAAAAAAATCTAGGACTATCTATGATCGACTGCAAATTCATCGACATAGGCCTACACCTACTACTGACGCGGAATACGCTTCGAAAAGGGGATATTGATTTACATTAGTATTTAGGCTACCTAGCTGTCTTTTGTTGCAATGAGAATATCAGTCATTGCTGTATTTTGAAAGCGTGTCGGTTTCACCATAGAACCGTGCATAATTTTAACATAGAAAGATAACATAACTGCTATATCTTGATCGACATATTATTATTATAATTTCACTGGTCGGAGGACTTCAGTAATTAGGTTGCACGTCGCTTTCTGTAACGAAGCCCCTTGAGTCGCACTTGCTTTGTCAAAACTAACTAACGTTTTCCTAGGGAACAATCTGATTCCCCAAGCAACGCAGTTGACCATGTTTATGCTTCCAGTTAGTCAAAATGAGGGGTGCAGTGCTCAGTTGCAATAGCCTTCAATAGGGAAATTCACAATGTCCGACGCTGCAGATATGCATAAATGTGAATTCAGGCTTTTTTAGTATATTTTTCCTTTGTAAAATATTCAGAATGACTCTTAGAATTTCGTAGGGCCAAAAATATTCTAATATTAACGTTATTTTTCATATTATTACAACTTTTTGCGGTAGTATTCTCCTTTAATTTACTATAAATCATTTCATGTCATTGGAACTAGAATCTAGATCATGGTCTTAAAGTAGAGCGATTATGCATCCTCACCTAAACTCGGCTGAATAAAAAATCTAGGGGGAGTGATGCCTTGCTCCCCTGTATTTTCTTTTGGCAAGGTCTGGAATCCATCTTAAAATTACAGTTACACTTACTGTCTTTTACATAGGGGAACTGGATTATTTGCAGTTCTTAATGGCAAATTCTTTTGTAATTTCAGAAATATATTCTCAAGAAAAAATAAAGATGCTACAGATTTAAGTCCACCAGGATGGAAATTATTTGGTCAAGTTCCTCCAAAGCCAAGTACAGAAAAAGAACCATCACAGATATCACTAGAATATCATGCCAAGCTAAGGGCCAATCAAATGGCGCCATCCCGCCTAAAGAAACAGGATATGGAAGTGTCCTCAACTACAGCACTTATTTTAGAAAACAGACCCATGTAAGTTAAGTTTCCTCTGTGCTAAAGGAAGAACACTATCAAAGTTCTCAATGGAATTGGTTAAAATTGGTGATATTGTTCATTTGAGTCTAAGGGTAAACCAAATTATAATTTGAACCACAAATTTCAATTGCATTTTTCAGCGTTATCTTTCCATTCACATTTTGACTATTTTTAAAGCTTGTAAATGTTTTCAATAGAATTCATTGAAATTTGTTCTAAGACCATAGGGAGGATCAGTTTCATAAAATTCAATATTTGACTGATCCAGTATATTTTAAATTTAATGCTCACATTCACATTCAGATGGACCAAGTTTTTTAACACCAGCATTGTGGCATAAGAAAGAACTCTTTCTCAAATTTTTAAAAATTTTCAGATTGTAAAATGCAAACGTGATTTTTGACTAAACATGGTACAGAAAAAAGTGTGCAATCAAATTTTTTAGGATAATCTAATGGTTTATTTCGGAGTTATCCCCTGTTTACTTTTAAATTCATGAAGCCTTGTGATCGTGATAAGGGACAGCATTCTCATTGGAATTTTTGAAAAACATGGTAAAAATATTGTTCAGAACCTCATTGATTTTAGAATTTTAGAATCATCAATTTTACAAGCTTTACACAGAGTTATTTTCCACATATATATATACAGTGTTCATTATGTGGACAGTGATACAACCTTCTTCCTGGTTAAAAAAATTACAATGCTGTATAGACTATAAAGCATTGTTTCTGTGAGTGATCATTCATATAATTGATGTTTTTACAACCATTTATTGGCATTGTTAATAAATAATTTAAGCACTCAATGTTACCTGTGTGACCATGACATTTGCAGCAAGATCATTCATCAATGACCTGATAGAATAATTGCTTTATCGTCCTCTGTCCTGTAAACAGGGTATAAATATAATATCATGGGTTCCATTAGTAATTATCTGTATTTGTTGTTTAATAGCTTGAATAACCAGGATAAATAAGTCTGTGTCAATCTCATTAGTCAAAATAATCTGGGAGCAGACACGAAGAGTAGACGTGTACTGTATCTGGTTTAGGGTGTGGTAAATAATCCAGTAATGTTTTTTGAATAGATGTAAATTACTGATGGAATTATTGATTAAGCAGAACTGTTATGTCTATCTACATTATTTATCTAGACCCTGTAGTCTCGGATAATGTACGTAGAAAAATATTAATTGATTAATATCGGTTCACTGTTGAAAATTGATAAACTAAACATAGAACTCTAATTCTAGACTATCAGCAATAAACTTACCAGCTTACCTGTTGTTAAAAATAACTCAAGTGTTCTGCATTGTTGGGTTTTTTTTTTTTTTCAAACATAATCTAACCATACACAAAAAGAATATTGATAAATAGCTGTTAAGCTTGCAGATCTCAAGCTGATACAGAGAATTCAATTTAACAATTCAAATCAATATTATTGTGAAACAATGATTTACATGAAGCATGGAATATATACTATTCAAAAAAAGTAGGGGATATTTGATTTTGGGGGCATAATACTAAAATATGAAAATGACTACGAAAAAAGTCACTATAGAACCTAACAGAAGAAACATTTCCAGTTACATGTGACGCCCAAACGCACCAATAGCTACCGCATGGAATGCAGGTGATGCTTGGGATCATCATGGGGGTCCAACCCAAGATTTGCACGACTCTGACTTTGAATGTTACAGTCATTGTGGCATTGAATTCCAGGGTGGAAACATCAGTTTAATTGTTTTAGTGACCAGAAAACAAATTTTGATATGCGTCGGCTTACCACAACACAGGCGGTTGTGGCGCGGACAATGAATGTTTCTCAGTCTGTCATAAGCAGGCTATGGTCCAGATACCGTGATACACAATCTGTACAGGACAGACCACGCTCAGGTCGACCAAGGGCGACAACTCAAGCCCAGGATCGATTTATCCGTACCTTGGCCTTGAGAAATCGTGTCATCACAGCAAATCAAATCAGCGCTCGTCTTCAAACAGACACTGGTGTGAGAGTGAGTGGCCAGACGATTCGGAATCGACTGCATAGGGGTCACCTTCGCGCCCGACGTCCTCGCGTGATCCCTTGTTTGAGAGATCATCACATTCAGGCAAGACGTCGTTGGTGTAGGGATCGTCAACACTGGGATAATCGACGCTGGAGCAATGTGATGTTTTCAGATGAGTCAAGGTTCACTGTTGATTTTTTGGACAGACGTAGGAGGGTGTGGCGTCGTCGAAACGAGCGCTTCCAAGACATTAACGTCATCAGACATGATCGATTTGGGGGTGGTTCTGTTATGGTGTGGGGAGGCATCACTGTTGCTGGAAGAACGGCTTTACATGTTGTTGCAGGGCGTGTTACAGGCCAGTACTACCGGGACAACATCTTGGCAGTCCATGTTGTGCCGTTCGCACGACGTCATGGCCGCCGTTTCATCTTCCAGGATGACAACGCAAGATGTCACAGGGCCAGGATCGTTACAGGTTACCTCCAACAACAGAACATCACCACATTACCTTGGCCAGCACTGAGTCCCGACCTCTCCTCCATCGAGCATGTCTGGGACATGCTTGGACAGAGGTTACGTCAACGTCAACAACGTCCTGCCAATGTCCAAGAACTTGCTGCTGCGTTGCAACAGGAATGGGACAATCTGGACCAAAATGACCTAAGACGTCTCATTAGGAGTATGCCACATCGGATCAATGCTTGTTTGGCAAACAGAGGAGGATTTACCCGTTACTGACTTGGTTGTGATGCTGTGGTAACTTTGCTGTTTGACCCCGGGTATCATTTTACCCTTATAATGGTCAGTCTGTGCCTTACTTAGTCTAACGATCATTTGGAATAAATCGATGAATGTGAACTTCATTTCATTTTGTCATTTGTTTCTTCGTCAGTTTCATTAGGTGACTTTAATAACACTTAAAAATCAAATATCCCCTACTTTTTTTGAATAGTATATTAGTTAGTGCAGTTGTGTAACGCACAATAGACACATGCATAATGAAAAAGCATTAGTTAGATAAACTTGTAGCAGAGTAAACAGACATAACACTTTTAGTAATGATATAAATTAAACATCTTTACACTACAATGTAGTATTTATTATAGAACGAATTAAATCAAGTGATTGGATAGGAACATTCTGGTGGGGGTTGGATAGGAGGGGGGGGGGGGGAGAGAGGGAGTGCAGTTGGAAAAGTCAACAGAAGTACAGTATCAATTATCCATATCATAGGAAATTAATGAGTTTCATCATTCATATTGGTTGTTATTTTGTGACATTATTATTCCCCGTAGTGACCTGCTTAGTTCAGGCTGACTTTCTAAAATGTCATACTACATGTTGAAAATACCAATCATTGCCTGTTGGAAAACAACACACAGTAAAAAAAATAGAGATATAGGAATGTCATTTTACTTGTTGATGATCTATAAAACTTATATTATCAATAAATGTCAAGATACATGTGGTTATATTGATTGTTCATGGTGAACTTTCACGTTCTCAAATAAACTACAACTGCAGAAATAGATGTATTTAGAAAAATTAAAGACTATTCATTATTAATAAAAAAAAAAAACACTTCCCAAAAAAATGTTTGTTTACTGTACCTGTTGTTTGTACCTGTAATGTGAGTTATAATTGTGGTTATATTGATTGTACAAGGTGAACTTTCACGTTATCAAATAAACAGCACTAGAATAATTAAAGGTTATTCATTAATAAGATAACACTTTCAAAAATAATGTTTGCATACTGTACCTGTAAAGTGAATTATAATTTGTCATTTGAAATAAGATTACTTGTATTATTGTAGGAATTTACCATCGAAAGATCCTGAAGAAGCTGAGAAACATCGACAACAATATGAACAAATGGTAGAATGTGCTCGTAAAAAAGGTAGGTATAAATTATGGTTTGAAATGAAATGGGGTTCAATCTCCTTTTCTGAACCAACTTGCCCATACAGTCTGCTATGGTATGAGGGAAATTTTTACCATACACAACACTTCTACAACCTCTTCATCAAATATCAAATTCCAACTGCCAAGGGTTCTTAAATGTGTACACTGGGTCTGATTTTTTTTAGTCCCATCCAGCCCTCTGTCCTGCACCACTTGCCCTACAGTAATTTCAAGTTAAAAATGTTGCATACTTGACAGTTTTGACCATCTTCAGACATATTGTTAGCGATAATCAACACTATGCCAATGAGACCAGCGGTACATGAAAACATTTTAAAGATACATTTTGGGAGATTTTAATAGAGAGTTGGGCATTCTTGCTATAACAGTTCAAAAATAGATGATGAAAGAAGAATATATTGAAAATTTCAGTCAAATTACTTTATTCTGAACAAAGTTATCACCATTGTAATTTTTGACTAGAAATGGGAGTCAACTCTCTCTTCACCATCTCCGAGAATGGCCAATCGTTTGATTGACAGGCGTTAACTCCACCTACATAATCTCAATTATTAAGTAACGTTTTCAATGGCTGTGGTACTGTTAGCCTATTCGGTTTGAGACAGGGTTGCAATTCAATTCGTATCACATTTATTTTTACTACAAATTAAAAATAAAACTTTATAGATAAGAAGTGAAAGTTTGAAAGGAATGGACCAAATCAATGAGGCATAATTATAGCCGACTTCTTGTTAGCCTGCGTGTACTCTTGTACTGTAACTGGTAGGCCTACGTAACTCCCGAAGCAGACAAATACTAATAGGAAACAGTGATCCAATGGGGCTGCAATTCAATTGGGGTGATGCTAGCTGCAATGTTTATCAATTTCCATAATATTTCTGTAAACGCAAGTGACAAAAGAGCGTATAATACCGACATCCAAAGTCTCCTTTTAACAACAACTAAACATAATATCAAGGCCGTATAATATATCGAACTTTCAATCAAATTGACTTACATGCTGCCTCACTCAACAGCGGCCTCGCTTCGTACACTCTATCATTTAGCGTCGATCTAAAATTTCCGGGAGTATGTCGTCAACGGTTAATCTCCACTTACGACACCATTTAAAAATTTAATCAATCAATGAAATCTTGTTTAAATCCGAGCCGAATCCAAGCAATCCGTCTACAGAGTTGATTTTGTGCTTGTTGTGTAAATAAAGATCTAATTTATAATTTCTATGACATCTGAAGCCTAAATAAAGACTTGCAATAATCAGATTTAGCTCTTGCATAATGTATGTTTAAACAACGTAAAGTTATTATTAGACATTTCATTCTATCATTCCTGCGGATATTCTCCATTCATATCCGGCGACATATTAGGCTGTGGAGTAACATCGTATACTATTGGCTGATTTTAGACTTCTATCCAATTAAAACGAGCCTTATATTAGCATTCAATATGCTTGATGAATAATTATGGCAGCCCTAGTTTTATCATGGAAATGCTCATAGCTCGAAGGAGCAGGTCACTATACTCAAATATATGCAGTTTTAGAAGTAAAAAAAAACTGAAAGTACAGTAGACTATGAATCTCATTATTTAGGAGAGCGATTTAGCTAATTTGCGGGCATATTTAATGACTCCCCCGAAGATAAGTCGAGATGTGTCGGGAGGCGCAAGAGCGAAAGCGCGCCTTAAACTTGAAGGACTTTATTTAATTATAGACTGTGATATAAGTTTTACGTGAATACAATACATGGTGTACTCAGTGAGTCAAGAAGTTAAATGGAGTTGTCAAAAATGTGCTTTAAGTTAATGTAATAAAATTAATGTCTGTTCCATTAATTACGTTATTCATAACATTATTTTACAATTGTTGTTAAATATGTCTTAGTCAGAAGGAAAACTTAATCTAAAGAGTTGTGTGTAAAAAAATTCAAGGCTAAATATTAATTAGTTAATTTTTAGCATGTTATTGTAGTGTAGTTTTTTGGATGTCGATAATTAACAGGAAAATGTTCTAATTTTATACCTGAAGTATTAATTAAATATTGAAGGAAATTGTGTAAGGAAAAGCAAAAATCTATTTAATTATATCTATTGCTATATAAATTTCATTAATGTAACTTTTATATCTTTGAGTTGGTCTCTTAAAAAATGTAGTTCATTCACCCAGAATATAAAACAACATTTATTTATTAGTCTAAATATAATCTTTTCCTTGACAATCTTAATTATATGACTAAAAAAAGAAAGACAATGATGTATGATTAATAAAGGTAATATTTTTGTTTATTTCAGAACAACGTGAATATAAACAGCGTAAAAAACAGTTACAAAATCAGCTACGTCAAGAAGATCAGTTGGCCAAATCAAGTAGGATTTGGAATACAGAAGTGTTACCTAACTGGGACACCATGTGAGTTCCCAGTACATCTATGAAAATCACTAATCCATGCAAAGTTTGAAATACGTTGAATGGAATAGTTCAAGATATTGGCTTTTGCATGATTTTTTTGTATAGGTGGTAGATCATTTTAGGCATAATATGGAACTCGCTACCTGAAAATCTTTGATTCAGTCCATCATTAGACTCTTTTAAATCCAGTTTGAAAACATACTTATTTGAGAAATATTTGCAAGAGTGATTATGTTTTTTGTAACGCTATGAGCATGAATATATGTGGAATTAGCGTGATATAAATGGACTTATTATTGCTATTGGCTTGTTTTTGTTTACGCAAAAATACCTTAGATATAATTTCATAATTTCAATAAAATGGAAGACAAAGTCCCATGCAATATACAATACAGTATTTAGTAGACCGACCTAATAATAATACAGGAAAATAATTTGTAAATGATTTAAGATATTTTATGCTAAATCAAAGATTTATACTAATAATAAATAATTGGGTTTTTAAAAGCTCTCTGGCAAACTGTTTCATAAGGACAATGAAAATAAAAGTGATAAATCAAGTCAAGGTTATTATGAAATAGGTTCTATATGAAAACAGAGAAGCAATATTAATAATAGCCGAGAATTGATATGTAACAGATGGATTTTCACTCGAGAACCATTCACTCAGAACCAATCCAAACTGGGTACTGAGTCAAACCAGGAGTATGTGTAGTGTTACATACTGTACACGCATTTAAAGAAACTTAAAATTATACAGTTCAGTGATAGAAAAATGAGGTTTAACATAGACTAGTTCATTTTAGGACCAACAGTGAGAGGAAACCCACGAGGTTAGACAGGTGACTCTACCTCTTGTACCACACAGTGACAAACCTTATAATCTAAAGTGCATGATTGATAGAATTTATTGATATCGAGCATCTTTGCTTTGCACGCTTTATAAATAACTGTTATTCTGATTTTGAACTCTATTTACCGGTACTGGAAAATATTTGAAGCTTAACAAATTATATGTTTATATGTTAGCTGTAATACTAATAGGTCTTATAATCATGACATATTTGAATGCAGCATCTCGCTTTAATTTCAGGCGTAGCAGTAAAAAAGCTCGAGATTTATGGTGGTATGGTTTACCACCTAGTGTTCGAGGTAAAGTCTGGAAATTAGCTCTAGGGAATGAATTAAACGTCACGGCAGGTTAGTAAATTATAAGTTAAATAGATTACTAGGCACACACACAACTATTGATTATTATCTTATACATGAAATTCATATTAAACGTATTTTACTATAAAGGTCAATGTTGTTTCAACTAAATGAAACAGATAGTTAATGGATTATAGCCATCAAACAATTTGAAAATACCTTACGCTTAGTTTAGTTTAGGGAAATAATCAAAAAGTTTTTAAAAAGTTTAAAAAGAAATTTATTAGAACTTGATATTTAGTTCTTCAATTCTTGCTTTTAGTGTTAACATAGAATTTAATATATTGTTTTATAATAAAGTATTTCCAAATCAAAAATTTTGTGGATTTGTTTTGCATTCACTGATCCTGGTTGTACATTTTTGGGACAATATCTAATTTTTCAAGGCAAAATTCAGGGCGTTGATTATTCTAAAATGCACATTTTAAAGGTCACCGGAAAAGGTTCATAATTTTTTTAAATAATGCAAGTAATTATGTCAACATATCCTTTCCATAAGTATAACACGAACCCGAATGTCAATATTACCTGCAACAGGTAAATTTCAACATTAGTAATTTTTGCCATTCTCCGTGGCGCAGTCGTAACTTTCCGTAAATAAACAATCTGTGACGTCATTTTAGTCCTTCTGCTCATATTCTAGCCTATATGTCTATGTGCAGAAGGACTAAAATGACGTCACGGATTGCTTATTGACAGAAAGTTACGACTACCCACGGCAAACGGCAGAAATTACTAATGTTGAAATTTGCCTTTTGCAGGCAATATTGACATTCGGGTTCGGGTTATACTTATGGAAAGGATATGTTGACATAATTACTTGCATTATTTAAAAAAAAATTTATGCTTTTCCGGTGACCTTTAAACCTAGCACTGTAAGTTTTATTCATAAGATATGACATTCTTTGTTATTTAGGGTGATAAACTACATATTATTATTCTCCGAAAAATACCAATTTTAATTACCAACTCTGTTCCAAACTTGGACCAAAAGCATGATAATAAAGGGTGCTGATGATAACAAAAGTCAAATTTTCTCAGTTATCCCGGCATGGATTTTAGCATGAACAATGCTAAATAAAGTCCAAGAAACCTAAAGGTTACCTTTTGCCTATAGTGCGTGGTTTGTCCTGGTATCCATGGAAATGCCAAAAAATGATAAGTTTTCTTGGAAATTCTGTAAGTTCATGTTAAAAAGAGATATCGATAGTCCCTCCTGAAGATCGAAAGTAGAGGTCATAATCGACATTTTCACACCAAGGACTTTAAAAAATATCTACTCAAAGTATTTTATATCTTTGTTGATTTACCTTCAAACGAGATTTTGTGATTTTTGGTAAATTCTTTGAATACATCCTCAAAAAGTTTTAAAATACAACAATTTGGATGTAAAAAGTAAATATTTACATCAGTGCACTACTCCGCCGCACTTAAAATCATTTTATGCATTCAAAAAAGATAGTCTTCGACTATCAGAAAAAAGAATTATGTTCCAGTCATGAATTATGGTAGACCTGGATAATTGCATCTTAGAGGAAAATCCTCCTGGTCATGTGACTTTTGGTCTAAGTCCTCCAGTGTGAAAATGTTGCTGGAGGCAGCCATGATTGGTTATTGCGGATCATGTGACAGATGTGTACGACATCATAATTTATTCAACAACTTACTGATCTAGGTCGGGGAAACTTTCTCTTTTGCTATAAATAGTTTTTTTCTTTCCGCTTGTATCTGCATTATTACACAACAAATGGTGGGACTGTTTGGTATGTGTCCTCTGGGTTATTTTCTAAATGGAATAAATATGCAAAGTCTTAATAAGATTGGTGCTGAAAAGTTAGTGTGTATGTTAAGCCTACCTCACAACTGACAGCACGGGTCATACAGTTTGGTAGCTTGCAGACCAGTCGCAAGTAATTGGGTGAAAATTTTGTATGTGCAGAACCAAATGTCTTTATGGCCTGTCAGCGATCTTCTATGGTGCCGAACACAAGCAAGTGATGAGTAAGACTCACATACAGGTTTACTAAAAAATTTCCCCTCCAGACTGCCCGTAGTAGCACATACGGTGGTTTGTGAGATAGGCTTTAGACTACTCAATGCCCTTAACTAAGAAAACAAATCCACAAGATAAATGATAAATAATATATAGGCTTAGATTCAATCAATTTAAAAATTTATTAGGATATTGAAATAACTATTATTATTATCATGTATCAGAAACAAATATATTGTGTTTTTGTTTCATTAATTAATCTTGATTAGTACACAGATCTTGGCAGAGTTTTGACAGTTTCATGTCAAAATACTGAAGTCTTTACTACATATATATTTTAGGAATGTTAGAAATGTAGATAGATTAAAACAATCAATCTACTAATCAACATTCTTTACCCACAAAAAAATAGATTGATAGAGTTTTATATCATAACCTTGTTTTATATTAATTCATATTTACCTATTATTAAAAATATAGGTTTTTTATGCTATAGACAAAAATCCATATAAATCACTGTCATATGTATATTTACATTGTACCTGATATCACTTTACTTTTTGTTGTATTTTGTATTTGAAATGTAATATAACGTCATGTATTTGTATTTATTAGGTTATACAATGATGTACCTTGTATGTGATAGGTAATAAAATGTCACATTTGTATGTTATATGTAATAGGTAATAAAATGTCATATTTGTATTTTGTATGTAATAGGTTAGTGTTATAGGTAATAAAATGTCATATTTGTATTTTGTTTGTGATCTGATAGGTAATAAAATGACATATATTTATATTTTGTAGAATTATATGAGATATGTATTGGAAGAGCAGAAGAAAGAATTAAACTCATGCAAGATTCTGAGTCTATGTCTAGTTATGATCGTAAGTATAATAATTTATATTGTAAAAAAAAAATAGTGTACATTTTGTAATATTCTTGAAAGCTTGTAATATCTTTAATTGTAATGATTGAGAGTAGATCTTCAGGAATTTCAATAGCTTATGGATGGTGTTAAAGGTATATTTTCTTTTTGACATATTATCTTGTCCAAAAAATGTGCCTTTATCATATTTTATACTTACAATGAATGACAAATATGAATTATTCTTCAGTGTTTTTAAAAAATGTGAAATATAAGAAAGCCATTGTTCAGACAGTTGTAATATATATTGTCTCTAATTTTATCGTCTCATCTGTAAGAATTTGATCGTCTCTTCTGTCACAATTTGACATGTAATTAAAGAATTGATAAGAATCCATAATGTTATTGTCTGTACAGACTCTCCACTCGACTATGTTAAACCTAGTTTACTAGACAATGTAATATACATCCACCATCAGCTTTCATGTCCACTGGGGACTGTACTGATCAATAACTCAACTCTTACAGAGTGAGTAAAATAGGGCAGTAACTCTGAAAATATGTTGGAATCATCTTAGCTAAACATTAACTACCCGGTATACCATGGACTTAATAATACAATATAAGGTCCATGACTATACCTGAAATTTGACAAAAATTGGCCAAGAACTTAATTCTGTAGATTGAGTACCAGTAATTTTAGTTAATTATCAGTCATATTACAACTCCATTTACAAAAAAAACCCGCTCAAAATTAATAGAGACCATCTTTACCCATCAAACTGTTCCTGAAAATTTGATCAAAATCAGTACACACTAAGATGTACTCAAATTGATTATTTAACATCTAATTAGGAAATCACAAAACTGATGCTAGATAATCGATACTTGGATTATGTACAGTGAATTGAGTTATATGAATCAGGGGCAATAACTCTTGTATTACTTCTGCGAACAAGCTCAAAATCACTAGGTATTTTGGATGATCTTCTCCAAAAAATATGTTTTACATTCTAAAATATGATGATATTCAGCTTGTGGAATGAAGCTTTCTTTTATTCAATGATTACTGATGATAAATTAATTCACTACTATACTGAAATGAAATGAAATAGGGTTTAATTTCCTACTGTTCTGCTCCAACTGGGCATATGCCATACATTGTGGCCTACTCTTATATTGAATTCCAACATCCAAGGGATCTTTTACATGCACGCCAATGTGTACACGAGACCTTGGTTTTTCATCCCGTCCAAATAACTTGACAGATGTCCTTGTCAGACCCTCTGTCGTGCACCACTGACAATGGGGAAACCACGGCGGAAAATCCCGATGAACTTTCTCGGCCAATGCAGGGATCGAACACACGACCTCCAGGCTGGTGAGCCAACGTCTTACCCACTTAGCCATCGTGGCTCCCTACTACTATACTTCTTTCTTTGCTTTCAAAATGACACAATATATCAGATTACAACCTCCGGAACAAAATTTCATATTTAAATATATGTTGGGTTTTTAAAAAAAAAAAATAATGTGGTACTGTATGTTATATGGAATATCAGGAAATCTGTTAAATTTATATTATTCCATTTCCAAATGAATCTGATAAAAGCCAAATAAATGAATGCTTTTTCCTTCTTTTTTTTATAGAAAAACAGGATAATTGTAAGTTCTTTTTATTGTAATCAAGGCAAACAATGCTGTGAATTGTGAAGTAGAGATAACCATGTACCTTTATGTAATGTCTATTATATATTTTTTCTCATAGCTTCTGCAGAAACACCGTCCAACAAAGAAGATAGTGTTAAAGTTATTCGATTAGATGTATCTCGAACATTCCCACAGTTATGTATATTCCAGAAGGTAATACACTTGTTTAATTTAATATTATCCAGTCTGAATGATAACACATTTTATCTTCGGATGACAATAACTTGATTATAAAAAAATCAATAATATTCATCATGAGGACCTGGATGGAAGGAGATGTCATCATAGTTTTAAAAAGAGGGTTTTTTTGTTTTTTTTCTCCAATGTGAGGTGTGTGGTCTAAGGGGAGATAATATGACTTTGGGGTCGTGGTTGTGGAGTTGGCTCCCTTTAATCAATACATTTATTTGTTTCTATTACAGGGTGGTCCATATCATGATTTACTACATAGTTTATTAGGAGCTTATGCTACTTATAGACCAGATGTAGGTTATGTAAGTATTTTAATATTTATTTGATACAGTTGCAATATTGAAACAGCTTAATTTATGCATGAACATGATTTTCAAGCTGGGTTAGAAAATGGAACATGTCCTTTTCTATGAAAGAAACTTTGTCAATTCTTAAGATTTTAAAAGGTTGAAAACCTCATAGAATAGTGGCAAGTTTATTTGTACAGTTTACTCTTTATTATGCTATAATATATTTGAATATATCAGGTTCAGAAACATGAAGATTCGCTGTATATTTTCTTTTGAGCACGAGTCTGAAACTATTATTACTCTGTTTATGAAATTTCCAGTTGGTATACTTTATATGAGAAAACAAAAATTGGAATAATCTTTCATTGAGGAACCTTCCCATGAAACCCAATTTTATTCAAAATTAAAAGCCTCTGTTTAAATTTACTCAGATTTTTTAATCAAACTTGTTTATGTTTTGTAGGTACAGGGTATGTCATTTATAGCTGGTATATTATTATTAAATCTAGAGGCAGCTGATGCTTTTATTTGTTTTGCTAATTTGTTGAACAGACCATGTCAGGTGACTTTCTTTAGAATGGATGAAAACATGGTAAGAATATTTCTTTAAACTTCATTCATCGAGATATTTTTTATTTCAGGAAGTAAAATGAAATAAATTTATAGATACATCTATTATTTGATCTGAAAACAAAATACAGGAAAATTAGGACAAAGGCTTGTGTTTTACAAGCTAATAAATATTGTTCACATTATTTTTTCATTACACAACAAAATATAAATAGACATGTTTTATAATTTAGATGAAGGCCTATTACAACACATTTGAAGAATTTTTTAAAGAGAACCTGCCTGTATTATATGAATATTTTCTGAAACAAAATATGACCCCGAACTTGTATCTCATTGATTGGTATGTTTTTTTATTAATTTTTGTAGATTTGCTTTTATCTCTGACTAATCTCAATTAAATTACTTTGGTAACAAAAATTTCCTCTGTGTAATTGGTTATGTAGTCCTGACCAATGAAGTGGGGTGAGATAAAAGTGTATTGAAATCAATGCATCATATCCTATCCTATTTCTTATTACAACAAGGTGGCTTCTGGTATTTTTTACCAAGAACTAATATCAGATAATTACATGATTTTTATCTTATTTCAACACTTCTGTGTGTTGGCGTAGAAAAGGTCACTATCATGTCACCATTGTTGGACAATTTTCACTGTGATCTATCTTCACATGCTATCAATGTTATTTCAATATTAATATGTCTTGTTTCAATAGCTACCTGTAAGTCTTCCTGTATTTTAGAGCTATAGTTCTATCTATTTTTGTTTTTGATGGAAACAAACAAATATGTCTGGAGTTTCCTCACTTGTGCCACATGCTGGATGGTCAGTCTAGAACGTCTCGAATTGACAGAATTGCAATCAAGTGGCATGGAATTCAGTCCTGTTACAGTCCTGTTACAATTCTGTCAGCCCCAACACCTGAGGTGGTGTGAGTAAAACCGTGACGTAATCAAATTCAACGAATATTTTTCGGCCGTGATGATTGGTTGATATATTTTTTTTATGCAGTCGACACATGCGTCCTAGGCTGAAATCCTAATATGCCATATTAAATGGTTTATCCCATTGTGATTACAGGATATTTTTAATGTACAGCAAATCACTACCATTAGATGTTGTATGTAGAGTGTGGGATGTAATCTGGAGAGATGGAGAAGAATTTATATTTAGAACAGCTTTAGGTAAACGATTTTATTTTTCTAACTTACATAAATGTCTTTGGCAATGTAGTAGAAAATAATTGTGAATTTTTGCAATGATAAAAAAATACCTAAAATCTTTAGAGAACAATCAATTTTAACCTCATAATTTTTGAAAATAATATTTTGATTATTTATTAAAAGTGAAGATGAAAATTAAATTTCTTACTTTATGATATTGGTTGATCATCTTAGGGATGTTTTTCAAAAAATTGTAGATTGTTTTTTACTGTTTTACAATAAATTAAACTTATAGGAAGAATACGATTTTTCATACATGTTTGTTTTCAAATCTTATGTTTTAGGTATTTTAAAAACGTATGAGAAAACTCTGTTAGGTATGGATTTTATACACATAGCCCAGTTTTTAACCAAATTACCCGAAGATATATCAGGAGATGAGTTGTTCCGTAATATAGAACCTATAAAAATGAATATAGACAAGAAAAAGTTTGTGAATATTCTTGCAACACACAAAGGCGTGGATTCATGATGGAAGTGAGATATAGGACAATAGGTTCACAATAATCCATAGTGATCATTTGATTCACACACAGAATGCTGAGATTGCTCGATGGCGTCAAATTAGAATAAAGAATGATTTGAGTTTGTTCACAGAGTAGTCACAGAATACCTCACACTGAATTACAACAGAACAAGTTTTAATATAACTAGTGATATGTTCATTAACATTGTTATTTACGATACAATCACTTAGAAAAAGCCATTCAGTGGTGATATTTACAAATAATGGAGATAACAGTAGACCAAAATTACAAAAAATGGCAAAATTAGTTAATTTTTTGTACACTTAAAAAAATGAATGGTTTGTGTCATAATCGGATAAGTCATAGTTTGTGATAGATAATTAGCTGTGATGTGACATTGATATTTTACATATTGTGGTTAATAAGTTATCAAGTGTAAATGCTAGCCAGTGAGATTACTTTATAACGATCTTTGTAAATATGTATGTTAATATTTAAGAGATTATTCTGTTGAACTTCAAAACAAATCAACAAATGTTAAATACAATGACTAGTTATACAGCGCTTGGTTCCCAGAAGAAAAATTAAACTGGTCTTTGGTCTGTTGGTTAAAAAAACTGAATATCTGAGACAAGCATTTGAATATAAGCTTTAATATTTTGTCAAAGAGTTTTACAATTTTTTAAGGCACTCCTGGAAAACATTGCATAACTTCTAGGAAACAATATTTGCTTGTGTTAAGTTTCAGTGTTCAAAGTACAGCATACCTTACTCAATATTCGTTTAGCTACATCATGGATTGTTTTTCTTGCAAAATACATATATGCCTTTAATTCTTTACTTGGTCAAGTTTTCATTGCTCAACATCTTTTTAAACTAAAACATTCCATGCTAATATTTCTCCATTTAATCAAATAATTACACATTTTGTGCAATTTAAAAAAACAATTAGCCATCTATTTCCTTTCTCACCCATATCAAATTAGTGCTCTATTTTCTATTTAATTTTGTATGCATAATCACAAAAGTTATGTGAATTGATGATGTTATTGGCTCCATAAAGAAGTTTATATTTTAATATTATATGCACTTGTACATGGTTCACTTAATAATTGTTTTAATTATGCATCATGTGTGTTTATTGATATATATGTACAGTTTCTAATTTTATTGGATAAATTGATAAGAGAAGAAATTTGTACCGATTAGGTAGAAGATGAAAACATAAATAATTAAATATGATAAATTATTTGATTTCTTAAGAATTTCTAGAACACAAAATTAATCAAATTTTATAGAAAATTTAAGTATTTAAATTGATTATATGTACCAGTGACCAGTGTAGATTATGTGATTATTGTACAATTATTGTGCTAAATCACAACCAAAAATAAGTAACCAGTACCAGTAATAGTATTATGATGCAACTAATGAACTGTTAAACCTACTACAGCACTAAATTTTGTATGTTATTTTTATAAACAAACAGTAAAACTTGTATTACTCTGAACATTTTATCACTCTCATATAGTGCCAAAATTATTGTTTTTTCAAAAATGTACAGTTAGGATTAAAGAGATCAGATAAACTATTGTCAATCAGAAAAAATAAGTTTAAGTGGAAAATTTTTTAGCTAACTCTTACCATTTTGTTAATCATTTAAAAACTACAATAAAGATAAGTAACAGTGTGTAGGAAACTACTAAATGGATTGATTTTAGCCAACAGAAAAATTAGAAGAAAAAATACTACTTGTAATATGATGTAAATATATTCTATATTTGTATATAAAGATAGACTCAGTATATATTTTTTGGCAGAATTGTAAATAGTTGCAGTTTTATATTAAGCTCATTTTAATATTTTTCCTATCTTAAGATGTTGTGATCTGTTTGGTATTAGAAATTTTTAACTAGTTATAGATAGACCTATTGAGTTAATTTGAATATCCATTGGAATTTCTGCTCGCAACATTTTTCTGTAAATCTTGTTTACTTTGTCATTCACTCTTTTAATAAATTATTAACCTTATACCTTTAATTGCTCAGAAGTCACAAATTATTTGATTTCAAGGTTCAAAGTTCAAGGTATAAAATTTAGGTAATATCAAATAAAAACAATGCAATTCTGTTTAGAGTTATTTTTATGTATATAAAGCATAATGTAAATTAAAATATTTATGATTACTGTAATAAATGATATGCAACTGACGTCTTTTTTGTTATATTTACATATTGCACATTTGCATTCCCCAATAAATTCTGATGTATTTAAATTTGTTCTTGAACATCATGCAGGCAAAAGGGTTAACCCAGATAGTTGGAGAGGTTAATTATTTCCCATTAGGATTTAGGTCTGGATAATTGTTGTGTGAAGCCTACAATAAACACTCTGTGAGGGGGGATAGTTCAATGAAATATTGTTTATTTTTAACGAAAATGAAATCTTTATGCATTTATAGGTCACAGCTTTATCTATAGCCTGGTTATCATGTGGATTGAGTATGTAGTGGGGAGTACTAATTTGTAAAATGCCCAATTTTTTATATTTTTTAAAAACAAATTTTGTTACATTTATGTTTACAAGCATGTTGAATACATTTATGTTTAATACATAAGCCTTTAAGCCTTACTAACAAGGGTTCCTACTGTACACAGATCTAAGAAAAAATGTGTACTATTTATACAGAATTCAGTTTAAAAAAATTACATGATCAATGACGATCTATTCAGTGTCATTTATATAGTGGGGTTTGGTAGAGGAAGATGCTTGATATGTGTTTATCTTTATATTACTGCAATCTCAAACAGTATTAAAATGATTCCATATTATTTGTGAGAATGGACATAACACAAAGAGAAGTTCCAAAGTTTTATATGAGACTTGCATAAGGTAAATAGTGTGTTATTTACTTTTTATACATCCACTTTACATAGGTACTCATTCCTTATACCCTAAGGATGATCACTATTGTTTTCGGTGCATGCCCAAACCCTCAGGGGCTGAGCCACACCCGTTTCTTGTATTTGTTTGTTTGTCGTCTACAGGCCGCATTTCATAACGTATCATCTTGAAACTTTGCATAATTATTCCTTATACCATAAGGCACATCGCTATTGCCTGTGGCCTTCTTTGCCTGTTGGCATATTACAGTCATTGCAGCCATTTCATATTTTAGGGGGGTTGGATGGCCGAATGGTTAGCACGCGTGCGCTGTATCATACAGTCTGTCATTGACTCAACTGGCGTGGTTTCGATTCCCTGGTTGTATGTGACAAGGAGCCTGTCCAACCTCGTGGGTTTGCTCCGGGGCCTTCGGTTTCCTCCCACTGCTAAAGACCCCTACGCTCAAGCGAATTATTGAAATAAAATTGAACCATGTGTTAGTCCCGAAAAGACCTAGTTTGTGTCAAGTGGACGTTAAACCCCATTTCTCTCTATCTCTTCATTTTAAAAAGCAGGAATGTGGACGTATATTGCTCTTGTTTAATTTGGAATAATTTATTATTTGTTAACATAATCCCATGTATACAAAGCTTCTCAATTTACCAATTACCAAAAGTAAATTAATTATCTTTTCAATTTGCTAAATTTATTGAATAACATGTCCAATTTGGTTATGGGCATGGAAAACAAATCCATATCTATACATTAACCATCAATATCTGTGGTCGCTGGTGTCAAATACTCTATAAATTAGTTTGCCAGGCAATGAAACATACGCCCACAGCATCTAAGTTGTCCAGACAGTCAACAAGGGCTATCACAACACACTAAAACCAGATTAAGAGTAACAACCCTTTAAGTAATTCTCAGAAATCATTAGAAGTTTTTGGGTTGTTTGTCTCATGAAATTAAACACTGTGTATAAAACTCTAGCACATCAACAAGATTTCTCAAGTAATCAAGGGCCATATAACTTAGGCAGTAATTATTTGAAATTGTTGAAAAGCAATAGGCGTCTCTGTCTAATAACCTTATGTTGTTGTTCTTAGTGTTAAACATCAGCTTCCACCGAAGGTGATGTCAGACAAGTTGTCTTATTTTCATTTTTATTTTCCTGCCGCACGCAGGGGTCTTTCCTGTGAGAGGAAACCGGAGTACCCAGAGTAAACCCACAAGGTTGAGAAGGCGCCCCTATCTCCAAGCCACATATGCTCACACCAGGTATTAAAACCACAACTGCAATCCAGAGGTAACCGGTCAGCTAGAGGTCAAGCGACTAGGCCATCCCAATCCCCCTCATAACCTTAAAGACAGTGTATAAATTTATAGTCAATCGGTTATAAACTTTTACCTCTTAGAGTGTCCACAAGATATTTCAAAGTGATCAAGGGCTGTATTTCTGGCACAGTAATTATTGGAAATTGTTGAAAATCAACAGGCGTCTTCGTCTCACGACCATAAACACTGTATAAAGTGGATATTAACTTTAGGCTCTAGAGCATCCACAGGATATGAAGGGCCATATCTCTGGCATTAAATATCGGAAATTGTCAGAAGATTAAGAGGCTTCTTTGTCTCATGACCTTAAATACTGTGCATAAATTTAAAGTCAATCTAATATTAACTTTAGCAATTGTGGACGTCAGACGGGATGTGGGAAGTCAGCTTAGTCAAGAAAGTTAGAAATTTTGAATATTTAATTCTATGATTCCTGTGGAATAGGTATAGTCTGGTATACATATTGCACTACCAATTTGTATAAGTTTTACACAGAGCAGAAATTTGGAATTTGTCTGGTGCCTTAAGCGCACCCTACCACAACACCCTTATATTTAACATTAATGAAATTAACAGATCTGTTTAAATCATTCATTTTGAACAAATAAATGTAGAAGTTTTAATGGAAAAAATATTTGAAGCTTTTATTGGAGACAGACCTTGTAGTTCATTTATTATAGCAGTTCTCTCTCTCTCACCTTTTGCATGGGGATTTTTGTTGATTTTTTAGTCTACAATGAAAGGGGGTTTGAATTAACATTTTCTGCCAGGTTTTGGTAAATACTCTTGACTAAGAGGTGGAAGGCTAACTGAGTTTGGTTATGTGATATGTTTAGTGGATAGTTACATGTTTTTAGTATGCCACGAGATGGTGTGTCTCAAAATTTCACTGGTCAACCTCATACAAAATCTGGAGTAAAGACATGACCATTTGTGGCTCGGTGTGTAGTGAAAGGCCTTATGCCCAACGAAAATTTGGGGAAAAGAGACCAGAATTAACATAGATGTCAATGGGAAACCCCGTCCCGCTCCGCACACCAATGTTGGTTACACGTTACAATAGCCACCACAAATTTTGAGGTAACGAACTTAAACTCAGCAGTTGAGTATCAACCTCTTCTTGGTCCTGGTGCTAGCTAAAACTTGATTATATTCTTCCTGTAATCTTATTATATATGTACTTTAATACTCCATATCAATTTATAATATATGCTTATATCATTTATTTATCTTGCATTTGGCTGGTTTCCGCATCCTGTGAATAAAATATTGTTTAAAAAATTAATGGTGGTCTGCTTCCTATTGTAGTTATGTAGTTACCTCCCATTAACCCAGATTTTACGATATTTGTTAAGTATAGTTTTCCCTTCTTTTGCCAACTGGCAGTGTTCTGGAATAAATATACCATGTACTGTATACAAAGCTTCCATTTTCTTTAGTTTCAGATATGCTTTATTCAACAGTTTAACAAGTTTTTTTGGTTAGACGGGCTAATGAAGACAGGGCACGGTTTTACAATGAAGTTTATAATAATTATGTAATGCATCAAAATTCTAGTGTAGTAATCACAATAAGTCTACTTATGGCCATTTTTTAAAATATTTTGGTGCAAGACATCTGTTGGCAAAATCCTGAAGAGTTATACTTTATATATCTTATTGAAATTTTCGATGAATTCTATTGAAGTACATGTACTATTTATCACACTGAACCATGAATATGTGTAATAACATAATATATTATGGATAGTACAAGTTTTGAAAATAAAGCACTGCATTACATCAGACCGGAATGGGCTATGTCCAGATAGATACCAACTACCAACCAACTACTACCAACATACATTCTTGCTATGCCCACATGAAGTGGTGCAAATGTTAGGGTTGAGTGCTTAACTGTTGATTCTCCTCAAATGACCTAGGCTACACAGAGGTTCCATAGAACAATGAACTGTATGTCCATTAAACGCCAAAATCTAATCCCCATATCATAGCAAACCGGATTTATTCAACATAACAAAAAGACTGAATACATATGAAAAAGATTTATTCTCGTTGAGGGCATAAATGTACAGATGAACGTACATTAGGAATGGGGAGTTATTTCCCTTCAAATCCTTATTCATTACTCTTTTTTCGGACAAATTTATGCAACTAGGCATAGCATTGGATGTTTGTTAATTCTTTCAAATGAAAAGGATTTAAAGAGAAAAAAAAACAAGGATGAAGATGAATATATATATATATATCTTATATATATACATAAATATAATATTTGATACCAAACAACATGATACAGTATTTAATAGCCTTGCATATAACAAATAAATGCACTTTTAACACAAAATTAAGTAATCTGTACTGATTATTAAAGTGATGTAGCAAAATTTAAACTGCAGTCAACAAAAATCATAATTTATGAAAATTTTAATTTACTTTTCATAGCAATTGTCAAATAAAATCATAATAAATAGTGTAACAATGGTACTGGTAATAATAACATTGGCTGACAATCTATTAATAACTCGTCTTTACATTCTCTATTGTATCAACAATCCTTTACTTACAATTTCCATATATGCATTAAAGCCATACACCAAGAGGTTTAACTGCCATAAAAAAAAAACACTTTAATTAATAACTTTCTCTGATGAATAAAAGTAAAAGCTTTGATGTTTTTGATACCCAACCGTAACAATTGTTCATCTGCTACCAGAGACTACATGTACATGTATATACCGGTAACAACAGATTCATTTCTCTAAACTTGTGACTCTACTTATTCTATGTAGCAAAAATATTTTGTAATTATACAGTTTTCATATACACATGTATCAAAAGAAATTGAGGTAGATTGAAGGAAAAGCTAAATAATGTGTCATGTTCGTAAATGCCACATACATTGTACATCATCCACATGAATTTAAAAATCATTTAGTTTCTAACTGAAATAACCAAAAATAATGTGAGTCACTTGGGCAAAATATTATTTTCGGTAGCAGCAAAAGCTAATGCTCACTACGAACCAATACCAAACAAAACAAGTTAAATTTAATATATCGTTAATGGTTTACCGATAATACCTTAAACAAAACAAAATATCTAGCACTAATTTTATAACAATTTTTCATCAATGCCCCAGGCACCCGATTCTCGCTTTTATAATTTAATAATCATTCGTCCATAACGTAAAATTGAGAATTTTTTAATCTTTCTTTACCCTGTTCAAAACAAAAGATTATAATGAAACTCTGTACCATGTACTTGACATTGACAGATACACTCCCACACAACATACACAGACAGGAATACAACAAATAAACAAATAATGTAAAAACTGTACATATAAACATAGGGTTGACAATAAATTATACAAACTTTAGCAAATATGTACACTTGATAAGCACAAAATGTGCCTGACGCATTCACAGGTTAAGCCTATTTCTCACAACAAATTCTTATCAAGCCATACACTCAAAGTTTCTTTTGTTTTCTTCGATGTTCACAAAAAGGTGTGTAAGGCAAGGTAGAACATATTATAGTTGGAATCAACTATAGTTTTAAGTTTTTCATTTATCTTTGGTTAGATGCAATCTTATTCACATATTAAAATATAACTATGTGTCTTCTATATCACATACACGAAGCAATACACTGGCCACATCCATTTCTCTCCTTCCTCACAAAACACAAGTTCACTGAGCAAATGGGTAGTCAAGTGCACTTCATTTTAAATAAAATCAACTGAAGTCATTAAATCTTCTCATTATGTTGTCCCATCAATCTTTCTCTTTAATATCTGGCCATTTTTATTCTGGATTTCGTAAAGAAATTTATCACAAAACATTTGGTTCATACAAACAGATAATGTTATTTTTTTTTTGCCCTTTTTCCTCTCTTCACTAAAAAGTTTTTATTCCTGAATAAAGTGTTTATCTATATTACAGTAGGGTTGGTAGGATTTTAATAACTATATTGATTATGTTGATGATGATGATGATGAGGATGATGTTGAGATACTGATGATATGTCTGAGTATAAGTCTACACTAGGGGTGGGGGTTTTGGGGATTTTCTCCCGACTAATAGGCAACATATTTGAATTGTTGTGATAGTTATTGGTATAGAAGTCTTTATCTTGAGTAGGGACAGGGAATCTTTGAATCTTTAGATTGCTGCCTTGATTGTTACATTGACGGCGTCTACGTATATAGAAGAGGAGCACTCCGAACAAACCCATTCCTATTATAGCAGAGGGCACGGCAATAAACAGAGGTAGATGATTTTTTGGACTGGAGGAATCTTGATTCGTATATGACAAACCAGTATTAGGTCCTGAAAAAGATAAAAAATAAAAATACTATAATTAGACAGTGTAATATGAGCAAAAATGAATCTTTCTTTCATAATTTATTAGTACTGGCACAATATACCCAACTTCACACAATAGACAGTATGAGCAGCAAAGAGCTGAATCAATACTTTATTAATCATTCTTCAAATTTAACATATATTTTCTATACAAAATGCATATTACACTGAAAACCATTCTCATGATACGAAATGACACATTTTAAGTACGGTACTTTGTTAAATTTGTGGCCTGGATATGGATTGTAATTTGAACCTGTTCTGTAATTGATTGATAAATATTTAAAGTCATTATGAATATGATTAAAAAACTAACTAACCAGAAGACACTGTAAGGAAGGCGCTACGGAAACTGTAGCCCATACTGTTGGCACCAAGGCAGATATACATGCCACCATCACTTTCTGTAGCATGTGTAATAAGTAATTTATTAACATAAGTTCCATCAGGTCGATTCCACACTTCTCCAGTTTTTAACACCACAAATTTCTGACCTTTCACCTCTATTGTTGTATTTAAATTAGGAATGGAATCCAAATCCTCCACTCGTTTTAACCACTAAAAAGAAGAAAGTTTCATGAATTTCTGGTAATGATGACAAAAACAACTACACAAAAATAGAAACAAATCACCACTGCAAAGATAGTTTCAAACACTGGCTTTATCTATAAATTTGAAATTTTCAACCAAGAGAGATTGTTATCGAATAAAAATATATCTATTCTAATATTTGTGACTGCCGTTTGCGTGTTGGCAAGTACACTTTGGCTGTCCCAGGGTTGAAATTTGGTGTATAGGGGTAGCTTGGACCGGAAAGTAACATAGCCTAGGTGGCGTTGGCCTACTGCTTCTGGAGTTATACTACTTTCAACCTGTGATATAAAATCTAATAAAACTGTTAATTTCATTTTAGACTGAAATCACTGGATCTAGTCATTTCAAAGTCTCTCTTATACCTTTATACCTTTAGTGTATATCAACTTCAACCATCTGAGACAAAAAGCAATATTTACCTGAATGTGGGGTTGAACCACACTACGAACACGACACTGGAATGATGCAGTACCCCCATAATCTACTGTTGTATTCATAGGATGAGGTGATATTAATACTGGTTTCGTCTTGATTTTTTCTACAACAAGGATAAATTCTATCATGATCATAAGATGAGTAATTTATCATTCTACAGCTCAAATAGATAAATTTACTTGACATTGTCAGAACATATTTCACGCTTAATTCTTTAACCTTTTTCATCCATATTCACCAGGGACAATAGCATGATATTTTGGGTTCAATGCATAGCAACAGAGCATTTTCCAATTATTTTATTTTTGCCATTCAAGATAATTCTATAGCCACCATTTGCTTTAAACTTAATATCTAAACTTACCGATAACTTCTAAAGTATAAGTGTGGTTAATTTGACCCAATCTGTTTGAAACTTTACATGTATATTCCCCGGTCTCTAGTTCATTAACATTCTGTAATTTTAATATCCATTGTGGATGTTTACTTGGATCTTCATCTATCTGTATAAGTTGATTATTAAAGAACCAAGTCACATGAGGTCGTGGATTGCCAGTAGCTCGACACTTTAATCGAACAGAGCTCCCAACAGGTCGTACTATATGATCTTTCTTTGGTAGTTCAGTAAAGACAGGGGGAGCTGAAAAAAAAAAATCGAGAAATATCTTAGATTATCGTGCAATAATAATTCTTTGTCTGATACTACCTTTCAAGAATTTTTATAGGAATAGAAATATCAATTCTCATAAAAGGTTTAATTCACACCTTTCATAATACAGATTTATAACAAACTTACAACACTGTCAGATTTTATTGATTATATTGCCTTCAGGAGCAATGGTCATTCAAATATAATTTGTGTAATCTGTTAATAGAGGTCCATTAAAATTTACAATTAATTCAGACTGGCAACAGCCTACAGTATAACATCTATTAGCATGTATGATACTAAGTATTTTGTGATCTACCACAATGCAAACAAAATTATCCAATAAAATTTTATAAATAGGGAAAAATCTTACCTCCTTCTTTTCTTAGATCTTCATCAGGTGATTGATTATACAAACTATTATCTTGTTTTACAATTCCTTTCTCTTCATCTAAAAAACATAATTAAAACAATGATTTAATTAATACATCAATTGGTATCCAATATCAAATAATAATTTTAACACTGTCAAATAATAATTGTTCTTGTTATTAGAAAATAATGAAGTCCTGATCAAACAATTTGATTGAAATACATGTGTCATTGTAATAGCCCAGTATCAATTACATGGTAACCCATTAATGATGAACTGGTGCAGTAGCGAATCAAATTTCCATGTCCATCGGTTTTTATTGATGTCATGTCTCTTTCAATTTGACCAATCATCTGGTCAAAGATCAATAGTGGTGATAATGGTCAAGATATTGGTCTCACACCATCATAAATACATTGTCTCTTATTACAATTTTATTGATTTCATTCAGCCTTTATAAACGTCTCTAATGATGTTCATTCTACAGTTAATATTTCAAATTCAAATCTCAGTGAACTAAATGTTTGGAGTGATATTATATTTTCAAAAAATATGAAAAATTTAGTTTGATATGGTTTGATCCGGTAAGATTAAATTGAGCAAAATAACGAAATCCCAATGTAATTCAAGAGAGAAAATTTTAGCATTATTCAGTGCATGTATTTTGGACAGCATTAAAATAGAAACTGTACGATTTCTATTTTCTCATTGTGTTTTTTGTGAGTGTGTTGTAAAGTTATCAATGAAATGTTGGTGACAGCGTTGTTTTAATGTGAGCTAAAACAGATCCGAGATATTGGCTAACAATAGAAAATCCCAGTGTCAAGATCAACTTGTGTGGATACAGCCGAAGTTTTAGTCCCTATTCAAACAGCCTAGTAAACTGGGTCACATATTTTATCATGGCATGTCGATGTTTCCTGTACAGTGCAGGAAATCAACATGTAAAAGTATTGTCATTCATTCACTCTTCTTTACCATCTTCTTTATGACCCCTTCCTGTTAAAACAACCCATTATTGAATAGTGGTAACAAACCAAACCTAATAGTTAGTACAGGAGAACCTCATCACTAGCTGTAAAAACGTGAACTGAAAAATAACTGAACGGAAATATGCGAACGGGAAAAAATAACTCCTAGAAGAAAAAAAAAAAGTAAACGGAAGAATCTCCTCAAAATGTGTTAGAAAATTACAATAATTTTAATAATGTTCCACCTTTGAAAAATATTTAAATATATCAAAAACTCTGACATGTCGAGTCTACACAAGAAATTGTGGATGAACAAACATTAAATGTGGGCTTATAAAAATCCCTAATCATGAAATTAAGATAAATTCTAACAATAAGGTTTATTTGTTCATGTTCAGGACTTCTTGGCTGTATCTAAGAATACAATCTCACAAGTCAGAAGAAATCTCATTAAAAAGTATGTTTTTTTTAAAAAAAACAAAAACTGTGAATGGAGGGGCTGGTATTATTATGCACAGTAAGACTTATAGAATGTGTATTTAAATGGTAAGATATAGCCTAGGGTTATATGGTATATTCTATCATCTACATAATGTAACTGTATTAATATCAAGTTTACACCGTTCCTTTTTTTTTTATTCACTATCCTTCTTTTGTGTTCCCCAATAATTTAAGTCTTGAGTCTTTAGGAATTTCTACAACTTTGATCAAGAGAGCGTGACTCAAACCCAGCATGACTGGGAACAAATGATTACTAGCCAATAATTGTTGACATAGTGAGCCAATCAGAAGGGTTTTTTTTATCTGTATCTTTAAAATCCTACATTATGAATTAAAAACTTTACATTGAAATCAGAACCATAAAGTATATTCACGCTCAACTCAACTGAAATTTTATTTTGAAAAAGAAAAGCTGTTTTGCATGCTTTTTACAAATATAACTTTTCAAATACCTCTGCAATTATGTAAGTGTAATAGTTATTTTTTTCACAGCAGAATGACTTGTTATTGTTGAACATAATTTCACACTTAACTAACAGCTTTATTATGGCTTTATATAATTACTGTAAATCATTTGAATGTTAACTGCATGTTTTATGAGTATATGTTAAGTATATATATAGTTCATCAATCAATGAGTTAAGTGTATTTTATGAGAGAGATATGTTAAGTGAATGTTTGTTAAAGTTAGCCCATCTGGTAATGTGTGAAGATAATAACAGCTGTTAAAACCATCCTAACACAGATCTAATATCACTACAGTTCCACACAATAAAGAAACTTTCCATGTTCTTCATGTACATCTAATTCTCCATAGCACCGTAAACTATTGTAATTGTATGCATTGCCAAAAACTTTTAATTAGTCTACTTAACAAAACCAGTATCTTAGAAATCGGTAATTCTGATCTCAGAGAGGATAGTGAAAGACAGAAGGCATAAATAAGTAACATCTAAAATCTCCATTTTTTTAGGACAGAAAAGAATGAATTTTTTTATTCCAATACTGAGTGCTGCAGAACAAAGCAACCCATATGTTGTTTACATTAGAATTACATGTTTCTGCATATTTAAATTCAATATCCATATTGTTGAAGATATCCTTGCTTCAATAACAAACGGGTGTCAGAAATTAACAGCACCATGTTATTATTCCCTTTAGCCAAGAAATCATTTTCAAATTTTTTAATTAGGTAATAATGCACTAGTCTCAACCAATTAGGTATTCTATTTAGCAGAGAGAAAACATTCTCCATTAGTCATTAAGAAAATTCAAGCTTTTTTTGATGTGTCACAAAAGTTCTGTCAATGTTTGAAATTAAGTGACAGATCCAAAGATGGCAGATTTTCACCAGACTACAAAAAACATCAGCCATTAAAAAATTTAAATCATGCTTTCAACAACTGATTGAAATCCTTTAAGGTTTTAAATCATATTTTCGAAAGTTTAAGAAATGTCTAATTTATAAATGTAGTGTAGAGAGACGAGTGTGATAGATGTCATAAAGAAACTCAAGTCTCTGTCAGCAGTAAAAGAATGGAAGCCTGCCATCTGTTTACTTAGTTTGTGTTGAATAAATTTGGTAGAAATTAGTTTTTCATTGAGTTCACACTATATTGTATCCCCATCACAGAGCGTGTAGAATTTACACAAGACTTCAGCTCCACTCTCCCATCTCATTCAAACTCAGACACAGTATTGAATTTTTTTTACGCTGGTATTATGACTGTTCCCCCATACTATGGTCTCCTGTTTTCACACTCCGTGTAAAACGAGAAGTGGCCCCTTTTGTTTGCCCCTAATTGGCTGTGTATTTGTACAAAAGCTGACCGAAGGCAGAGTGGCGGTCATCCACTTTAAATTTTCTTTATCAATAGTCCTATGCAAAGCCACAATAACCACCAAAATTAGAAGTTTGTTTGGACAGCCGTAGGAAAGTGACCATTGTCCATGATTTGATGGGATTTTCTATTATGTATTTTTTCATGTCTTTCAATGAATTTTCCAGCCAGACCACCTTGCATCTGAAGACGATCAAATCAAGTATGAAAGATAGAGTACTCAATAGCACCATCAAGTGTTTGAGAGAATAATAAGAAGAGAAAATGTCACTTTTAAGCCGCCATGTTTCAAATATTACCTTAATCATCCAAGCCTATTGAAAAATAAATAAACCATCATGTTCCTTGAATGGTGTCCCTACTGGGTCAGATTTAGGGCAAGTAAATTAAGCAGAGTACTACCATATTTTGTAATCATCAGTGTGAAATTAGTTTTTATTTGTGTAGAATATGAAGGATTGAGGATCATAATACACAGGTGACAGACAAATAGACTTTTTTACATCTGCCCTCATTCAGGGGTCATGTCTGGTGTTGAATGTTATATTCATGGTGTAATTAATTCTAGAATATTGTTGTAAATTAATTCTAGTTTGTGAAGATGTTTATCAAAGTTTGAAGTATTTGTAGTAATATGAGAGGTATAAACTATGTATTGTATAGGTTATCTTTATCTTGTTATCTTACTATCAATAAAGTCCTAGCTGCCATATTATCATATCATGACACCCAAATCTAGGTTGATGTAATTCAAACTAAGGTCAGTTCTGTTGACATTTCTATCAATCAATTAATGTCAGTTTCAAATAAAAACTCAACCATTTTAAAAATCACTAAAATTTAGACAGGGTTAAATGTTGAGGTACTTTTCTATCACTATGATATTAATTTGAAGTTGGCCTATCACATTATTTTGTATGCTCATCTGGCAGAAATGTAAATATTTTTCAAATTGAGATATAGTTTGAAAGGCAAATGAAAATCTGGTTAAAAGTCTGATTAATATGTCAACAGAATACAACATAAATGAAATTATTCAATATAACATGTTTTTCTTTTTAGGTTAATTTAGTCCAAGTATTTAATTCAAAAAGCGGATGTCTTACAGGATGTTCATCATCCTTGGTGATAAGATAAACTACTTTAAATTTCCTACAAAGACACACCCATGTTTAAACAAAACAATTAAACAATTTCACAATAATTGTTTGTTTATTGATAATAACAATTAACATATAATAAATAAATCATACTAAAGTGAAGTGAAGTTATCTCAATGTTTCAATTTGTGGGGTGTTATCTCTAGTTTTTCAAGATAAGACAACAGACTGGTATTGTTTTCTTTTACATAATATATCCGTACTTATCACTGTGCATGATGAAGAAGTCAAAATACACAGGTTCAAGCACCCAAGTTGATAACTGATGATTGTATAGGTCATCTCAAGCAATTCTTTTTGTCTTTTCAACTGATAAAACACAACCCAATCTATTTTGGAACATGAAAAAAAAAATTCTGTTCAGATGGCTACATAAGCTATGTTGAAGTTTAAAGGAGCTTAATCACTCATATTTGGGACCTAGAAATTGACAAAAATGGGTTATGACGCATATAATAATGTTATATGAATGTATATAAACTGATTTACATTCAATCGTTTTCAAATAAGCTCTGTTCAGCGAAATACGTCAGAAATCTCAATCGAATGGCAATCTCTAGCGTCTGGTTATTCCAGTCTACAACGATAGTATTTATTGTGCATGCTCTCCAGATAAGAATATCAGAAGCCCATCTTTTCCCAGGAAGATCACAACATCAATTTTGATTTAAATTGACAAATTATTCATGTTTTTAATGTCTAAGACTTTGGATGATATTGATAAGAGACTAGCTACTTTAAAACCAAAAGGAGGGTATAACATTTGCCCATACTACAAGTGAAACCAACATCCAATTTGAAGCCTTAAGTTCCATAATAAGTAATGAATAGCACAAATCATGATCCCGCCTAAGCCGGCAGTTTTAAGCAGATCCATGACCAAGTTTAGTTAGTTTAGGGAAAATAATGCCCCTAGGACAGGTAACAAACTAGAGGCTTTAAACTGGCTTATTTCCTCCACCTCTGCGTTCATCAACAAAGATAAGATAACTTAATGATTGTCAGACCAACTCAACTTAAGGGTTTGAACAGCATATCAGTCTGTCAATGTTTTTCTGTGGTTTCTATTGAAAATTCTAATTTAAACCCAGCAACCCATCCCAAGTTCACAAATGTTTATTTTAAAATACATGTTAAGGAAAATACTGGTTTTCATTATTCCCAGTTGAAAAATATACAAAATTGAGTCGTGATCATAGAGTGAATTGTTTGAATGTAAATTGTAAATCCCTGGAGGGACCAACAGTCTCCGATTACCCCTCTTGACTAAAGTCTAAATGTTTATAGTTGGCTGTTAGACAGCTGTATAAACTACTTGGCCTTCTATTACAACAAAACTTGTGTAACATCTGATGAAGGTAATTTGTCAATGATTAACACAGAAGACCAGAGGTCAGGCTTAGTCACTCATTATATCATTATTTTAAGTGCTCTTATTTAGCTCCTCAAATACCCCCTCTCATTCCATACTCAGCAACTTATTATTTCTAGATTCTACCAGTCTTATCCACAACATGTACCAAAACATGGATTTTTTTTGTGCGAGTTGCATCTGCAAGAAGTTGGTGATCAATCAAATTCAATATGGTGGCAGAGAGTTGGATGATATGTAGGGTATGGATGTACAAATCAAACCTGTGTTACATTTGAGATTCAATACTACTGGTCTGTTATTGTTGGTTCCCTGATGGCCGAATCAGTGGTCCTATCTATTTGGACCATTGATTAGAAGCGTAGAAAGGAATTTCATCAAGTTTTCACACTACTCATCTCATTGCTATTGTTCCCTATAGATGTGAACTGGTCACTTCTACCATAGATATATCAATAAGCCATATGTTGTTTTTCCCACTGGTATTGCTTGTACATCTAATAATATATACATCCAACTTTATTTATAGTCCACACCTTTCTTATCATGGTCTGATCAATTTCATCTCAAACTAATTCATCATCACAATCATGTTTTCATTAACTTCCAAGCATAAAGAACTGATGCTCTAACACGATTCGTTGTTAACATTTATGTATTCTAAAGTATCTAAATATTGTTATTTTAATTTCTATTAATGTAAATGTTAGTAAAATTGGTCTGAAATATACATCATCTTTCATTCTACCATTACTCAATGTAACAATTATTGATTTAATGAGATTGACAGCTATCTATCAGAGAAAATGACACCTGTCCCAATACAGCCAAGGGACATGCTCGGTAAATAAATCTCTTCTATTTTGACACATTATGGCTATCATCTTATATAACCTGATCAAAACGAACATTTTCCAATCTAATTTACTCAACACCATGGCAGTGCAGTTTCCCTGGGAATGGCTGACTACCTTGCCTAAATCACCACTCAAATTACATGTTATGTAGTGACAAGCGTCCTGTGTGAGGCAGGGTATGCTAATGCTTTTTAATCATTAGATGTCACTTATAACTTACTTTGGAAGCTCACAAAATAATTTCTTGTGCTTTTGCATTTCATGCCAAACAAATTATTTCAGATAGAAAATGGCTACTTTTATTTCAATGTTTAGTGCAATCCTTACTGCCTGTGCAATGCCTGCTTTGCCTCTGGTTACCCCCATAACTTTTATAAATAATTATTCAATGTACATGTCTTTATTTATTCACCTGATGAATACACATAATTAACTTGACAATTTAAATTCAGATGGGAAACAGGAGAGCTGTAGATGTACTTGTTAATTCCAGTCATGTGGTGCAGATGGATCTTTTAGCCTAGGTGGAGCTGTACAATATGAAATCTAGACCTAGTTGAACGAAAATAAACAGCCTTGGATCATTTTCACACTCCAATAAAAGCTCCATTACCCTCAACTGTTTGATATATATGATGTAATTATCAGAAAGCTAGTATTTGACAATGACATGTTATTCTAAGTATTCACAACCCTGCCTCTGGCTTCAAAGATAAATAATGTTAGTTTCGATTGAAATATGATTATTCTTAAACAAACACTCCATTTCTCATTTGCTCTAGATAAGCAGATAGGAAATTAACTTTATAATATTTCAAATGTTATTTTTGGCTTCTGGCAATGCTTTTTTTCATGTAACTTACAACACACATACATGTATCTCTCTGTAATAGAGAAATAAGCTTACACATAACCCTTGAAAGAAATGGCATTGTTAGGGAAATTGTCTTCATAATTTTTTGATTCATTAAACAAACAGGAAGTTTCTAAAATTAGCAATTTCCGTTTGCACTTCCATGTTAGAGTTTTTTGTGCCTCTCAGGAAACAGTTAAACAAGCATACATGTATGTAACAAATTGTTCAAAATTCATTCATATTGTTATTTGTTAAAATTTATTCATATTATTTGTTTATTAAGTTTTTTATTTGTTTTATGGACGCAGAAGTGTTTTTAATCTTTTTGGGGAAGGATACAGGAATTTCCATTTAATCTTCATATAAATTGTTTGATATTAGTTTGTATTTGTGTGAATCAATAAACTTCTATTGTTTCTGTATGTTAATAAAAATGGTATTATAATTATGATATGGCAGAAGGCTTAGAAACCATACAATAATCAAGATATTAACTTGATCAGTACAGTGTGTTGGCTATGATGTATGAATGTTTGTTATATGAGTGTATAAATATAATAAATATATTTCAAACATCATATTATTATAAAGATTAATATAAAGCGATATTAAAATTTACTCTTGATCATGTTATTGTAAATAACAGATATAATAAAAATTCTCTATACCAGCTGTTGCTAATTTTCCAGTAAAAATTCTGATACCAACAAAATTAAAATAAAATCCTGTCGCTAAATATATTTTATTCTGGAGGCAAAGAGACATTTCTCTTTATTTAAGGAAAAATAATTTTAATTTAAATGCAAATCATCATTCTCCAAGTACCATCTTCAGGTGCCCTATAATTTAATATTATACCAGTTCTATTTCAACTTTGTCTGACCTTCCATGTTTTACTATCACACATCCTTTTACTTCTGCTTTCAAATCTCATTATAGGCCTACTATTAGTATCCATTTATTCGCATACAAAAGGTAACACGATCCGTGGCCATATTAGTCATTGAGTGATTAATCGTCCAGTGAGAAATAAACCATGGATGCATTTCTTCTGTGTCTGCCCATCTTCGTTAATATTCAGTGCCAAAGTCAGATTGAGAATCGACTATTCATATCAACTGGTTAATTTGATTATCAAGGAATAAATAAGCATGGGCTTTTCTTGAACTGCAGACGTTGGACCAATCACAAGGGAGAAGGGTATAACGGTTAACAGTGTGACGATGAGAGAGATTTTGTGTTTTATCATAATAACAGTATTTGTATGAATAAATAGTAGTTATGTTCAGAAATGTAATTACCAAGGATGAAACAATTTCTGTAAATTTACATTTTGTCTTGTAGAAATTTTTGCTGTTTGAATTATAATGTGGGACAAATCGATATCAGGGCTTTCCTTTTAGACTATTTCAGAGGGATATTTAAATTTCAAAAACATTCATGCCTATTCATTTCATCATGGATGACAGAATCTTAGGCATTAAATAGACATCAAGCTGTAAGTGTGATGTATGTATTTAATTCAATTTTTCATGTACTTACCCACAACAATTAATGTGTAATTAATTTTAATATTTCCAAATCCATTAATCGCTTTACAGACATAGGTACCAGCATCGTCCATTTCAATTTCTCTTATTCGTAACTGACCATCTTGAGAGACTTTGAAGCGTGTCCAACCATTGGGGATATTGTGATTATTTTTGTTCCACTGCATCAATGGTGGAGGGTCAGCTTCTACAGGACACAGTAACTTTGTATTGCGTCCTACTTTTGCAATATGGCGATGGTGAACTTTACCAATTACCCGAGGTGGTCCTGAAAAAATAAATAAAAACTTATCAATGCTAAAGACATCTATCATTGCAAGAGAAACATCTCTAATTAAACCTCTGAAGTATTTCGTCAAAAAATGCTCAACAGAAAGAAAATAATTCATGGTAACTACTTGTAATAAATGAGTGTTGTTGTAATTAGAAATATGATGACGGATGTTAAGTAAATACAGATGGTATTTATTGTGTTTTAATGAGGCTTGTTACCTTGTTATTTAAGGATAACAAAAAAACATCTTATCCTAATAGGTTATTAAAGATTTCAATAAAATCACTTTTCTGTTTACAGTTTTTAAAATGACTTCTAAAACATAATAAAACACATGCTGATATGTTTCACGAGGCCGGCAACCTGCTGGGTTTATTAGCTTGTAAGCATCTAGACATACTTGTGTGAAGGGAATCTGGGCTGGTTTTGAAATGCTTGTTTATGAGAAGTTGGTATTTAAGAGAAGATATTTATGTGAAGTATATAAGAGAGTTTTATCTACATGATATTTGACTGTACAATTGTTATATATCACTATGTCAAACATCAACAAATAAACCAGATAAAATAAGACAGGCCGCATGTAAACTGAAACTAGCCAAACCTTGAGAATTCTTTAGAAACAGATTGTCTTATTCGCCAGAGTGGACGATCCTTAACAAAACCAGAACTTGATGTCTATGCGAATTTACATTAAGTAATGGTGCTAATAAGTATTAGGAACCAACGTTTACACAGAAGTTTTCTGTGGAACAAAGAAATATGAGATGAGAGGGCACATCCCAAGGAGAACCAGTCATTTTTCTGAGAACATACAGCATTTCAGTACTTGTACCGGTACTATCTATATTAGTATTCTGTCTGTCATGGTAGGTGGTACTTTTAGTATTTGTTACTATAAACGTGTCTAGGGAACACTAGTAACTTAGTACTATCCCACCTTTACACAATTCTAACTCTCAAAATGCTAACCAGCTGAATCAACCTGACAAACCTTTGGGGAGAAGCAAGAGCAGATGCTATTGGCTAGAAAATGGTTGGTATGAAGAGACAAGCTTTGTTTACAAGTCTACTATATATTCGTCTCACATGTCCTTTCATTCAAAGCAGACTGATGTTAGATAGAAGAATATTTCTGGCTACCCATAGTTCTACATTGATAGCCTAGCCATCTGAACGATGTTCAATAGGTTTTGGAATGTGGCGAAAAAACATTTGAATATGGCTGAAATTGTTATGAAAAGTGAATGGGTAGAAGTAAATTAAATTTTGGTTTTACATTAGACCCCTTTGTTAGCTCCCCAAATGAGAAGTGCTAGAAAAAGTAAGCAACCCTGCCTTGTACAGGACACTTGCTACTAGTTATATGGTTTGGACATGGGTATGTGTTTAATTCCAAAAACATTGATATGATACCATATGGAGCAATGTGCACATATATTTTAACTGCATTGTTTCAATAATATACAAGATAAATCTATGACCTCATTTAACTGGCTACATTTGTTATGATTTCACTTTTACTATTATGAAATGTGCGCTTATCTATAAATTCTTATTTTTCATCACCTACTAAATAAAGATGCTCCACATTCTTTTAATCAAATACCACACATTTTTTATTACACTGCTATTATCACCACTAAACTGATAAAATTTTGATAAAAGCTTAATATTTGAGTTAATATGAGGGATGATGTCTGCCCTATAATGGCAGTCTAACTGTCTAACTGATATAGACTGTCACGCTGTGAGAAAGGTTACTCCTAATTACATAGCTCATTATTAAATCAACACTTTCACAACTAACCTTTTGAGGTCGCAAATACAATAATTTCCTGGTTAATTGGTACATGTATATTTACATACTGTTGGTTAATTGTTACATATTACATAATTTACGTGACATATTCCATTAATTATACATGTCACAGACACATGACATGAGATAAACAAGATGCCAAGGATACAGTTTCTTTGCAGGAATTATAAGAAATTCTGAATTTATAATTGGATGTTGGTTTCAACTGGTGTTGATTTCTTGTTTAACTTGCTTAATTTGAAGATTATTATATATTTTTTCTGCAATGCCGCCAGACTAGACTGGACTGGCAGGATATGCGATAACAGCTGAGACCAAGTGAAATAAAACCCATCAATCTGTAGTCTACTAATAATATATCATAGTCAGTGAAATGATGCTCACTTTAAAACACATGTTCATTTAACCGACAGATGGACATGATTGTAGCTCTTAAGTACATCAGCTGAAAGTGCCATAAACTTACTAACGTAGCTTTTATTTCAACAGCTAGTGTTTGCTAAATCAAGTCAACAAATCGTTCCTATTTATTAGCTATATGATCTCAAACGCATTAGTACTAATTATATTTAAGGATCCACTTAACATTTTACATGTACAAGGCTTATGTAACTATCAGTGGATGGAATCATTTGAAACTTGCTTAAAAGCTTTTAAAGTAACTTATATAAGTCATTGCATGTCCACAGTTATGTCTGGAGACTTTACAAGAGAATAGTAGATTGTACATGTATCATAATACTGTCTGTGATCACATCAATCCTACCCCAGCCTTATATTTCCTGGCATATTTCATCTTGTGAAGTTTTAACACTTCTTAACAGCTGTCGGCACAAATCGTGAAACCTGACAACCTTTTAGTGAAAATCAAGGAAAGAAATACACAAGACAGGAAAACATTTGATGAAATATTCTGTCTAAGAGAGAATTCTGTTCTTTTTTATTCTGTCACATTTGGACAGTTGTAGCTTTAATTTGAGGCAGAGTTTCATGTCAGTGGGAGGCCCCACAACTAAAACAGCTATTTGCATTATTTTTTAGCTTTCAATTATCCGCATAACTAGCAGAGAAGATGACTTTTTAATGAATTACAGAAAAAAATATTAAGTGTAAAGTTATAATTATAAAAGCGCTTTTAACTTGATTATAACGATGATCAGTTTAAGAGAGAGAGAAATGGGGTTTAATGTCCACTCGACACAAACTAGGTCATTTCGGGACTAACATGGTTCAATTTTATTTCAATAATTCGCTTCAACGTGGGGTCTGAGAGGAAACCAGAGGACCCAGAGAAAACCCACGAGGTTGGACAACTAAAATATGATTATGGTGTTTGCTTTTAAAGACAAACTGATATTATGTCTAAATCTATTTTATACCATTCCAGATCTTTGGTACCATATAATTACATACCAATATATACATGTACACTGTATGTATTACAGTCAAATAATTTATTACCATCCCAGATCTTTGGTCCCATATAATTACATGCCAGTATATATACATGTACATATTACAGTCAAATAATGTGACTAACCTACTTGAAACCTGAACATTTGTGTCCACTTGTTTCCATGGTAACTTGATTTGATTGATGACCAATCCGAGGAAAGATGACACTGGCTATTTTAATGGTCAAGTATTCACAAGTAAATAAGTTCATTTACCAAACTAGAGACCTATAATTGGTCAGTATGACTAATTTGTCTGGTATGATGACAATTGGTCATTAAGGGGTCCCATCATTAAAATTAACTCCAACAGCTCCGAACAATGATGTATTTGAATTATGGTATTTAACACATTTTGAAAGCTAACCAAATGATGTTGTGAAGAAAACAAGGGAGAATAGTAATGGGGTCTGGAAATAAAATGATGATCTATTTGTCAATTCAGAATTAAATTTCTCTGGTATGCAATTTGGTTACAATAAATGGTTTAATACAATGGTTTCCAAACGTTTAAATTATTGCTGCATGTACAGTGTACATGTATTACATGGTTTTGTGAAGGTGTATGATTCAATCAGATTCTTTACAATTTTGATAATATAATAATATATCCACTCAGTGTTCTCCATTTTGATATATTCTCATGACAACCATGTCTGAATGAACATGTTTAAAATATAAAGAATGCTGGTGACATTTCTCATTGTGGGTGTTGTTGAAAATGTACAAACAGTTGTCTTTTGCTTGAAACTCGGACTGACATTTATAAAATTGCTGCATTTCATGTCTCAATTTCGAGTAATTTCTCGATCTATTTTATCGAATTTGTGAGTAGCATCAGATATTTGTGATGTAGCCATGAGCCAGGTAGATCAAAGTGAGAGAGAATTGGCAACATAGTGGAGATTCCCTGTGTCAAACGAAGGGGTTCCTCCGCCTCTTTTCTAAACATCATTGTTAGTTTGGTCGACCACATACATTTAAGTTAAACACACAGCAACACATACCAGATATTGTCAACCTTTTACCATTGACACATATATACCTTTATATACACATCACCAACCCTGTATTCAAATTTTATTTGCTTTTACCAGTGAAAACAGTGATAATATTAAAACTAACGTTCAAATGCATATTACAAACATTGTAAAATATTATTTAGTTATTAAATTATAACAAATAACAGTAAAACGGAGATGGAAATTTTAAATCAATATCTGGGTTCAGTTTGTCACATCATCTATTGTTTCTATTGTGAAATGTATTACTGGTGATCAAGATGAACAATGACTAAATATCATGTTCTCATCAGAAAAGTTATCCCTTGCTCATGATCATTGGCAGTAATAGTGACACCAGTTTGGAATTTAAGTCTTAAGTGACTGATCTGTTTGAAATGGATTTAAAACATGTTTTTCTCTTAACCTCCATTTAAATTTGTTCTTTCTGCCATGGATGCCATCTGCTTTCCTTCCAAGTGACACCAAATTTCTTGTAAATTTCATTAATCCTTCCTCATTGATATGACAAAGGCTTGATACATGATGTTTGTCAACATCTAAATGGACAGATTTCCAGATAATGGGTTAAAAAGAAACTGATGATCACAGTGTAATTATCTTCTTCATTACTGTCAAGGATAATTCTTAAAACATCAAATGTTCATTTTTACTCTGACCAGCACTAAACAGACAAGAAAATCACTCTGTGATCAAGTTACGTGTAAATCAAATGTAGATAAAAATCACCAGTTTATAATGTTACTGACATCAAAGAAAAGCTTTATTTTGGTAACTGGTACATTTACTTGTAGGTGGTCCCTCCAAACCCCTTTAATTCCATATTTTAGCCTACACATTAGAACAAGTGTTGTTATGACAACCAGACTTTGTCCTGGATTAAGCAACTGAAGTAATGTGGGGTTCACCCTACTACAATGCAATACCTAGCAATTTATAACTTTGGTGTGCATGACTAGAGGTAGTTAAGACTTATGTGTGTGTTCGATCTAAGATCAGACAGTAAGTTTTTATCTTACAGTAGTATCAAGATTGTGATGGTTTTGTACCTGATCAAAATATACATATCTTAGTATACACGTATGTACTATCTAGAAGTTGTCACCATTAATAATTGAGTCAGAGATCTCTACGGACCAGCCAATAACAATATCACAGTTAGAAACAGTCTTCCCTATTGCTAACATCCAATAAACTGACTTGCTCTATTAGTTTTTATTGCAGACGGTTAACAGTATGACCTTACAGAGCTGCCACTTTACTATAAATGCACGATTAACACATTCTGCCTTTTTGTCTGTAGCTGAAGTAATACCATGCTTTCAGGAAATGTTTGAGTTTTGTTTCAGACTGGGTACAAATACATGTATTTTTATGTTTAGTTGATGCATGATGAATTCTTTCATATTTACAAATTCTGAAATTGACAATTGTCTGAGTGCACTACATTGTAGTTACAAAAGTGTGAATTTGCTTTTAGTTTTAACTTTATTCAACAAAAGCTTTCCTTTTCTCATTCATCATTTCCAGCTAAAAGATTGTGAAAACCTCCCTTAATTTAACACCACCGCTAATCTGGCTTATCACAATTATAAATCACTAGGCTATCTCTAAATCTGGTGATAATCTCATCTCTTGAACTCTGTGGCGTTATATCAGCTTTAAAAATCACAACCAATGACTAAAAACTGTAAAGCTAGTACAAGTATATGATAGCTGTGTATTATTGTAGCCTTGTATTGAATTGAGACAGTTAACGACTCAGTGATTTCAATGAAAAGAGGGTGAAACACATATTAAACACGATGAACATTAAACTTGTCAACCATACCAAAATCATGTAGCCTAGACAGCCAAGAAAAATACATCTCCAAGCAGAACTCATAAAATAATGATTATACAGTAATATTTCCAGTTACTATTTAATCTTGTCTCATGAAGCGATAAAGATTGACATCAATTACTAATCTAACTCTTCATCTACCACTCAATGAATTAAACATAATATTAGGATATTTCATTTGATTTATTGAAAAGATACTCATCTGGTTGCTTCTGTAGGTTTTAAAATGTGTTTTTCATTCAAAAACGATATTGGAATATTAGTTTCTGATAAAGAGTATTTTTGTCTTTTTCAAACTTTTGCACCTAACCACCTATGAAATTGTATACTCCTTTATTTATGTTTCGATTTTGCCTGAAGTATTAAACTCTAGCTTTTAGTAGAGTAGAGAATAATCTGAGAATAACAATAATATTGTTTGTTTTCTAAATTGAGAAAGGAGAAAGGAAGAGGATTTATTTAATTATTTTTATCTGAATATTAGTGTTGTTTACACCTATTGAAATATCTTTTTAAAGAATACCATGGAAAGATTTGTGGGGTTGACAGGCGGGGGAGTTGTAGATGGCTCGATTCCTTTGGATCGACCTATTTAAAATTTGAACAACTATTTTGGGAAATATTTGTCCTATTTTAGCTCCTGTCTAACAAAGGGTTGTCTTGCTGTAAAAAAACTAAACAATAGTGTTTACAAATTGCTGGCAACATTTTTGTCTTGTTTACTAACACAATAGACCAACAGATCGTACCATGATACTCAACAGGTTTCAGGACCTTTCATATTGTTTTTCATTCAATAACATCCTCCGATCTCCAACATAAACCAATATGCCTACCTCTCCTCATATTTATCTGACCAAAATCTAAACTTATCCAATTGCGTTTGTTCCGTTTACATGTCTGCTGATACACAATTTTGTTAAATATTGTTAATTTGACAGAACAACTTGAATACACACCACAACCCTATACCATTTCAATATAACTGTAAAAACACAAACATCTACACTAATAAACAAACTATCACTAAACATATTCAAACAACGAAACCAAATTACATCCTGATCAAGTTTGACAGCCTAGTTTTTATTTTATTAGAAAATATACATGTAGAATTTTTGTTGAAGGTGTCTACACACGAGGTAGCAGTGACGCCAGGTATAATTTAGCCGATATTTAAAAATCCACCTAATAATATTCTACAATCATCTTTTATGTATATTGGACTGTACAAACTAATTACCATCTTGTGTTAATACTAATTAGCTAATTTAATTAAACAAATATACATTAAGCCACATGCTCATGATCATTTGGCAGCTGTAAATGGACTTATTTATGGAGTAAAAAAATGACATTTTGATCAAGATGGGGACTAAATATACCTTGTAAAAACATTGGATATAAATGTCAGGTGTTGGCACTCTATTTCAATCTGGCAAAACTAATATATTTATACAATATTCAGATATTAGTAAATTATTTATAGCTTTATAAGCTATGTAATCCTGCTCTCCTTCACAGGAGCCGCATAATAAAACATTCTTTAAATCTCTCCCTCAATGAATTGGGTGAAAGTTGAACGGAGGCCTTTGAATACAGGGGTTGAGAAGGCTTTAGAAAAGTGTTAGCCAGAAACATGACAACTCTCTTGTAAACCACCTTCATGTACAATCAACAATATGAAAAAATGGAGGGTAGAAAAGCCTTCAATTCTTCTTGTATTGAAAAGTAATAGAGTGTCAATATACCGCACCGAGAAAGCTTTAACAATGAACGATAACCAAGTCACAATTGCTTCTATTCCTTTTATGAAGCCGAGACCCTTGTCAGTATTCTCAAAGTCGTATTTAAGCCGTCCCCTTTCAAAGTAAACAGTACATGTGTTGTATAGAAATTGCCTTAATATCAACTGCAATAAGAGACATTGACATGCATACACTGACTTGTACCAAGATAGAGAATAGTTTTAATAAAGATAGGTCTTTTTTGTCATTTTTATTAGATATTAATCCACTCCTTACTCCAGTTAATAAACTACTCTTTCATTTTGACTGTCAATATTACAATGCTTAGCTACGGGAATATGTTCTACATAACCGATAACTAACTAAATGTTAGTTTAACTTTTCTGGTTGCCATATATGTATCACATAAATTTACTCTGTTTACTTAGCCATCCAAATTGTAACTTATACTAAATTATTGCAAAATTCAAACTGACTCTTAACGCTTTCTTGAGAGTGTTAAACCAATAATAGTCTTATAAGATTTATTATATGATTTATCTTTGATCACATTTAAACTCTGCCCAAATCACTTTAAAAAAAATTATTTTTAGCACAAATACTGACCAATTACAATTACTGTGTCTTAGATTGAATGAAAATAAGCCTAATCACCATTGATGTTATATAATTGTAAATAATTTAATTGCCATTTCTTTGTTTGAATCTATGTAACCTTACACCATAGTTTACTTTAAGATAAAGTCTGGACAACACATTTTTGTTAGTTTAAGATAAGGGGGAATACTAAACTGACCTAGTACATCTCATTAAAATATAATATTTTCTCAGTATCTAACTACTGGAACACTCAAATAATCTTGTGTTGTGTTGAGAGTTTTAGATATGTGGCAACTAACTGTTGGTTAGCTTGTATTTTGTTTTTTTTTCTCTTGGATGTTAGCTGACCTCGCATTCACAACGACAACCTGTAACCCATTATATATGGTATATTGTTAACACCCTCAAAACTGAAACCAATACATGTATCACCCCTTCTACATTTGATAGTCAGATGTCCTGCCGCGTATTGTTGAAGTTAGACAGGAGAATATTCTAAACCTAATAAACGAAAAATACACAATTACACATCAGCTTGTTAACATGCAAGGAACCAAGAGGACTCCATATTGTGACCAGGTTTTGTAATCGATAAGCCTACTTTACAATGGAATTTTTCTCTTGTTGGGGTAAAAAGACGGTATCTAATAACAGTTATTGCGTTATGGCTAGTATTGTAATATTTGACAGGATGAACTGTAGTATATTGAATGTATAACATGTGTAAAGTGTGTATGATGCTCTCTCATTGTGAGAAACGCAAACACAATTAAGTGACTAATCCATGATTTGAAAGTTAGGCCAAAATAACATTTAAACTGTGCTGTGTCCTATATTTAACCATCTCTGATTTCAATTCAATTTAATGGGAATAAGATCTACAAATAAATTGATTTCAAAACAATGTTTCCATCATTTTAATTGGTATAATGTATGTACATGTATGTAGTAATTCATGCCAAGAATTTAATGTATTAGTGTGTCTTTCTAATATGTGTATTTATATAGGTCGATATCTAGATATTGTTGGATATTATGTTTATATAATGTTTACTTACCACTTGCAGTACAGATCTGTAAAACTTGTACCAATACAAGTAATAACCACTGCCTCAAATAGGCCATTTCAATATTATCTGTAATTAGAAAAACATATATTATAGATATAACATTTTAAAAAATATTTCTGCATGTTAATTTATCACTATGTTTACATTTAAAGGGTGTAACAAATACCTCTACATTTCATCAATGGCTTTGTACGCTACAATGTATACCACAAAGTATGCAAATTTAGATAAACACTTAAATTAAGTTCCACAAAACCTTTCTTCCTAAAATATTATCCATCTGAAACTGAAATGGGCATGTATTATTCTTCAGGGATCTTCTTTTCATTTATATTCTAATTTCTTCCAATGTACATGTACATGCAATAAGTTTAAATATTTGTTTCCAATTTTCATACACATTTATATTCTTCAAAATAATAATTGTATATATAAACATGTAAGTGCTTGGCCAAAGGGAACGTAATTCATTAAAATTTGCTTGGATTTTGTTCACTTTTTTGGTTAATTTTGGCAATATATCAAAAACAACATGTCTACCAAAATTACGTTTCCTGAAAATGACACGAACTTGCAGACTGATAATGATATGGTTTCATTTTATCTTGATTCTAAGCTCTACATTTTATATCCATTATATTTAAAACTGTTATTGGAAGTTTCAACATAGAATATCAAATTCATAATACTGGTATATCTTCTTGGATCAGGTCGATTTCTCTTTTAAACCTTTTCAGCTTTACACTATATTTACGGATACTTGTTGCATAAAAAGTATTATCAAAACTATTTTTTCAACTCAGTTAAGGAGAGAATATTGTTATCGAATAATTACTCTGATCTGCATTCTAGAAAAGAATATTGGCCTTTCTACTTAATTGTGTGTTTCCTTCATAAAATATTAGTAAGTTTATGTCCAATATTCAGTACAGACACTACAAATTGTGGAAATTTTCAATAACATCTTTGATATACATTACATTTATTAAAAATCCAAACTCAAATCAACAGTCCTTTCTGGACATACATGTATACAAGATTATAAATAGGATTTGGTGTGAGCACAGAAAAGAAATGTTGGTACAATTTACACATAAAAACAATTGGATTTTATTTACTCAGTTGCCAGTTCATTATTATAGTTAGAAAATGTTTTGTCTGAATTATGAATGTGAAATAATAATCATATACATGTATTTCATAAAAGTTTCAAGAAATTTAAACTATGTGGAAGCTTTGTTAACACTTCCTTGAACAACACGCCTATATTTCATGGGAAATTATGATATATACCAATTATAAATTGTTAATCTTAAGAAAAACGACCGTTATGAAGTATGTAATTGACACACTGTCACAATGTTGCAAATTTGAGCAATTGCAAATTCGACAGGAAATGCATGTAAAGTTCCGTTAAATTGGTTACGTAGTGTATTTGATATACATAAGAACTGGAAAAGGTTCTCAAAAACAACGCGAAATACATCAAAGAAAAGTAGAGGTTATAATAATCTTATCTATGTTTGTGTGTCTGTATTTATTTCAAGTCTGAAGATAGAAGGGTCGTGGTTTATCACATCTAGACACAAAACGCTCCATGTAACTAACTTGACTCAAGTTCAACTCAAACACGTGCACAACTGGATAAGCTCAGAAACACGGTTTTAATTTCTCGCTTACATATTTTGAACATAAAATCCAAATGTTTGATAGACAATATATAAATAGCCCCCAATCTGTTTTAAAACTTCGCTTCTACCTTTAACAGAAAATTCTTATTTCTTATGTGTACGGGTTCATTATATCCATCCTTATATTTGCTTGACAACAGTATATCAATCGGTAACTGAGCGAATGAAAAGTTAATTTATTATTTACGCGGTAAAGACAAATTCTTCGTCTGTTTTGAAAGTCAATTCAACATCGCATAAAATATCAACTAAATTCAAAGTAAACCACAATTTGACATAGTAATGGCTTGTTATTTTAATATCTATTAAAGCGATAAAAGTGTCACATTTATTATATTTTTATAACTATACGTTGTATATAATGTAGCTCAGTCCTCCTTACCTGACAGATAGTAATAGCGTTCAGCATGTAGTTTCGATAGTATGGCATAGCTGTACACAGTCCTAAATATCACTGAATTTTCGCATTATAACACCTAAAATCCTACATTACACCATTAATATATAATGGAGTGGTGTTCGTTTAAATTTACAGTTATATAGTCCAAAGAGACAGCCATGGCCAAGCTACTCGTTATATCGTTGCAACAACATCCGTCCTCTATAGAAAACTACTCTTAAAACTGTAACAACATTCTCTGCCCAGTCAAGGAAACCACGTGACTAAAACTAACAGAACCAACCAACCGTTGATGTCCTAAGCGCGTGAAGCGTGGTGTTTCAACTCCCCGTCACAGTTCTTGCCAGCTACGAAAGAAACCATTATCATGATATTTCGCTTGAGGGGGTCGTGTCATGGACTTCTTTTGTAGTTAAAAGATTTCCATATAAATTAAAAGAACCATTTCCAAACCGATAGTGATATTCAGAGCAAAATGAGTTAAAAGTTCGCGCCGAAATTTCTGTGGCTTTGTGTTGCAGCTAAAGTTTATTCCCCAAACGATGTACACTTGGGGCGCAAATAAGAAGTCATAAATAATTACAAGGAGACGTTTTTGTAAGTGACAGCACACAGAGGGTAATATATCTTTTAGATAATGAACTGGGAAGAATGTTTTGACAGCAGCTAATGTTTCAATTTTTTCGAAGAAAAACTAAGCGATAATTTGAAAAAAATAGAATGCCAATGGGTCTTCCGACTAATTAACCGATGTGCTTTTTAAAGGATTGTAAAATAGTGGTCTTTACAAATCAGATAAACAAAAGTCCTCTTCGGCGCTAAAGATCACACTAAAAAAATGAACACTTCTGATAATTAGGAGAGCTTTCTTTACCATCTTACAGGAGAAAATCAACTGACCAATTACGCCCATGGTTTCATTAACGCCGTCGTTACAATAATGTTTAAATAGAAGTACAATGACGAATTCAACAATTTATTTGTATATCACAGGTCTGGTTTACAAAATTTTATTATCCAATTACCGACAAAGAAGAAGCGAGCTCCATGAATGTGCAATTAAATCTACAAACTAACTTTGTGAATTAATAAATCATAAGCATTCTCTCCCCTTTCCACACACTATGAAAATCGAAAATTGTCCAAACGTAATTTCCACGGCGCAAATATATTTCAAATTAAATACTTATTTAGCGAGCTTGTTTTTTTTTTAAATTAACACATAAAACGTGTAAGCTTTAATTTGTTATTTGTAAATTTATATACATTTTTTTCTCCGTCATTCAAAATTGAAAAATCATTTTCATTCCCACAAGTAAAACAAGACCATGACATAATAACTACAAAATGTATTTTCAGGAATTCTTCGCGCGTAAATAAAAGAGTAAAAAATGTTTAAAAGTTTGTGAAGAGTTAGGCCAGGAGTTGGATATGGAGTACACATGTAACGGTATTTAACTTGACCTTTTATTCTCGTATTGCTTGTTTATTGTAGCCTCCTCAATACTAGATTCCCCGTGGGGTCCCGATTGCTTACAAGTGTTTATGTTTACATGTGTTTTACAGACTGGAGAGGAGACTAAAATATATGTTTTCTTGTAGGTTTATCTTTTTGTTTTCAGAATCTGACCATCACTATTTTCTTACAAGACATGACCCGATCCTCAACCAATAGTTGCTGTACCTACAATTCAGGTCATATTAAGTGGTGGGCAGAATGATTGTGAGTAGTGGACAGAATGTGTGTATCTAACTGGTTTAAATGATTTGGGTGTAAAATGAAATTGTCGATTTAATTGCATTTTATATGTCGCTCTGTTTCGTGGGATGACAATCTGTTAAAGCGAGAGTGGAGATACTGTCGAGTTTTTTTGCAATAGGCCACAACCGAAAAATTAACAAACTGGCCAACTGTCGCATAATCGTTCCAAATAAAAATTAATTGTATAGGGTTTGGCTTGGTCATCATCACTAATGGAAATAACACGTCAGATCAAACCAATCAAATAATTTATATTGACTTAAATTTACACTTTACGCCTCTATGGTCAGTGTATAAAACCAAGTAAAGGTTCATATGGACACTTTGATCATGTTGGGACTAACACAGTGTATTTAGTTTGTAGAGTTCCTAACGTAATGTAAGGGAAGCTGGACCCGATTATGAGTTCACTGATCAACACATTTCTGCAGTCAACTATATTCTGATATTAAATAGCTTCGCTATTAGTGTAACAGGTTGAAAAAAAACCGTATTGAATAAATATTATCATCTATTAATTTGAGACAAGTTGCAAAAATCTGTTTTTACATAGCGACAGGTTTAACTTTACTACATATTGTGTCAATCACGTCGTGCTGTCACAGCAGGCGGCGAAATATGACAGTTCATACAGTTCTCTTTGGCAGTCATATGTTCAGTCTCGATCAACAAGTCACGTGTCATAACTAACACGACACGGTTCGTTGGTAACGACTATCATCTCCCATGAAGGGGTATTACCGTAGATTATCGGTTTTGTAATTGTTTTAGTATGTCACGGTCCGATAAGCAAAATGGCCAATAGCGCCCACCCTTTACGAGTGATAAGATGCATGCCAAATATTTGAAAATGTAGTGGGTAATGAAAAGGTATGATAATCGCAAGTATACCCAGTTTTACGAGGCCCAAAAGGTCTTTCATTGGATTATTAAATATATCCATAAAATATTAATATGATTCTTAAGATGTGTTTGAGTAAAAACAACCCTCAAGGTTTAAGGTTCGTAGCTACATGTTCATAGCTCGGAAATCCGCACAGATAATCAACCAATAACAATCAAGTGGTGAATCGCCGCCCATACACCCCATCAAACTCATATTAACAACTTTACACGTTTTTAAATACTCTTTGAAAATGTTTAGGCCATGCGACCACTGAAAAAGCCCGTTAAATGCTCTTTAATGTAAATTACCGCCCCTTATTGACGAGGA